TACTATGGTTCACAAATAAATAAAATCACAAATCCTACTCCTATCATTAACTGCCATTAAAAATAATCTCCCAGACCCTCTTTCCACACTTCCAAATACCCACTACCCCTCAACAGGATAGCCACAATCATAATTCCTATTGCCGAAGTTCAATTCAACAACTACCATTTTATCTTTCCCTCCCATCTTCTCAGACACAGAGGCGAACCAACGAGCTCCAGCGAAAGATTTTTCAACGTCAACAGGGTTGCCATAGAACACGCAATTGCGCCAAAAACCAGCGCAGAACACATATCGCCACATTTGGTGAAATTAAGGCGTATATTAGAGTTGTACCATATAAATTAATATGTGAATGGGTAAGTGTCCTATATATATATATATATATTCATTGATGAAGCAGTTGGTACATAATCTGATGACAATACAGTAATTCAATTCAATCATATTTACTTCATTTGGGGGGAGCACTAAGCCATTTTTAGCATAGAAATTTATCAATAAAGTGTCTGTGGTGTCATATCAATTAAGAAAAGAAGAAAATTGGTGTGTTTAAATGGGTCAAATACTTTCTCATAAAATGTACCTTCCTACCATAAATAATTTCATCGTCTTGTAGCTTTTTTTTTTAATTATTTTTTTAATATGCTTGTATGACATGGCTTCTACCCATATTTCATTTTTATTATTCTGGCCGGTATTTATTCTTTAACATTTGGTGTATAAATTGAATTGATGAATTTATTTAAATATTGATTTTAATTCTGAGAAACGTCTTTCATATCTTAAAGTGAAAATCATCAATTTGATTAGAATACATATGACTCTTAAAATGTACAATAAGACTTAACTTTGATTTTTCATAATTTATTTTGCATTAGTGTTTTAAAATGAGTTTATGTTTTAATTAGTTTATAAAATTTTGAGTTTTGTTGATTGATTGAAAGGGTTTGTAGCAAGACTAAAGCCACCATTTGTGGTCAAACTTGTTCATTTAATAAATTTGTTTGCTTATTGCATCAGAATGTGGTAAGAAATTTAAGTATATATTTCTTCCTGTTGAAAAAAAGTATGTTCATCAAATATTTGTAAAACATCATTAAATTTGAACTGGTACTGCTGATATCTTTGATGTTAAGATTTCAAATTTGTTATGGTTTGCATGGAATCTTCAGTCAAATTAGACTTAATTAAAAGTATTTAAATTATCTTTTTAAAAAATGTGCAAGTATAAATTTAAATCCCCCCCACATATATTAAGAGATGCAAGATAGCAATAGAAACTTTAATAACTGGTAAAATTCACAGTTTCTGTTTTTAATGCAGCTTAATTTCATTTTAAAAATACTCACTACATTTCAAGAAACAAATGGGACAGTTTTTCTTTTGAAATAAATTTTTGTATCTGTATTATTTCTGTTTTCTTAGATATTACAGTTTAAATGGTCTAGTAGTTTTTTTTTTTATTTATTTTGCACAGTAAACAGTGTTAGCTTATCTTTCATTTTATGTAAAATATTCTATCGTTAGACTAGATACAATATATTTAATGCAGTTGGTTTGATGATTATGTGCAGAATAATTTGCTGCTAAATTGAAAGGGGATTACATCTTGTATGCAATGCCCTTTCAGTATTTAATCCATATTGCATTAAATCTTTTCATTTAAAAGTTTTATCAAAATGATTAAAATTTTACTAGTAATTTGAAGTATTTATTTATTCATTATCCACATTTTGTGTTTTATTTTTATTGAAAACCTTTTCTGTACGAATGAACAAATATTTTAGCAATAGCTTTCCTTATATAACTGATGCTAAAATATTTTTGGTATTTCTTTGTTATAGCAGCCTCCAACCATATTTGGCAATTTTAGATTTGTGCCAAGATCTCAGCTATAATTTCACCAAACTTGTAAAGTGCAAATATGAATATAAACAATGTAATGTATATAGTACTCACATGCCATTTTCTAAGAATATTATTAAGAATCATTATTATTATTTCATTTTATGTAATTATACCAATCAACTGCAGCACCTTTCACTCATATTAAGCTATTTGTATCAGCATTTCAAGGACATCAACTCCTTTGCCCAAGAATACATAAATTTAACAGCAGTAGCAGCCCAAGAATACATAAATTTAACAGTAGATTCCTTGCTGGGCACTGGCTGATTCCAAAGGTGGGCACTGTATGCTCCATGATGCATATTGTGCTAGAACAGTAGCGTGATGGAACAAAACCTGTAAATTCAGAAGCAGAGTTCTGGTGCTTCATCCACTTTTTCCTGTCTTAGTATTTCCATAGCATTGTCACCAGTTTGGATTGGTTTCTATCTTGGTAAAAATTCTCTTTATAAACATCACACATGCAACACTTTTTTTTTTTTTTTTTTGCTTATTTGTTTTTGTTCCTACTGCAATGACTTTTACAACTTGAGATTTGCCAAGAGATAAATAAGTGCGTATCCTGTTTTTTCAAGAAGAGACATTCTTTTCAAAGAAAGTGTTTTGGTTCAAATAACCACCTCATGAAAATTAAAATGTCAGTCAAAGCCAAAATCGCTGTGCAGTCTTTGTTCGTGCTGGAAAGAAAGAAGTGTTCAAAGACAAACATGATTTTTTGAATTATGTATTCCTTTTGTTACTGAAGATTATACTTATTGAGTCAGAAATGAAGTAATAATTTGTCGAATTTAGTAAACTAAAGCTTGCTTCAAATGAATCGAAACTCAACATTTAATTGGAAAGACTGCATTGAAAGTAGTAGATATGTGCAAATTTCCTCCTCTCTTCATAATGTTAAAATTTAATGGATGCTTAACACTCCGTCTGGCACATTTGATCTGCTAGGCACACTTTGAACATTTTTGTTTGCCCTGTGTCCTTCAAACATCGTCACTCCTTCTCCATCCAGTTAGCTTTCGCTCTTCTAGTGCCACTAGCAGTCATAAGGTCAGTCAGTGAATATATTTCTTCATTTCCAAATGGCAGATGAAATGATCTAATAGGCTTATTATGCCCAGTTACATTGCAATTTGACAAGTAACTTTTCTGTGATTTTTTAACACTATCACATTTTTTGGTTAGCAGTTTTGTATAATGAAATATTTTAAGATTGTCTACAAAATTGGGTATGTTTTTGGGTTCTGGCTTTTCAAACACATTGTGCCTGATCCTGTCATAAATTATAACATGTTTGAATAATTTAAAATATTGCTTGTTACAAAATTTGACAGACATTTTCATAACAACATTTAAGTATCTGTTTGATTCAGGCTTCAAAATATTCATTAAAAAATTGATATGAGAAACCTTTGAAACCTTGAAGAAATTCATCATTTATTGGAGTCATCAGATGAAAACGATGAGGATGTCAAAGATGAAGATTTTGATGTTGAAAGCTATATTAATTCAGAAGATGGTGAAGAGAGAGATCAGAGATAGAACGAGAGGGAAGCGAAGAAGATGACATTAAAGAAAATACTGACTTTTATTTGGGACAAAGTCAGACCACAACACTCCAGTAATTTTGGCTTTAGTATTTCTAATGTTTTGGCGTCCTTCATTCCAATAAAAAAACAAAAATGTCATTGATGTATCATCATTGCATGATAACCAGGCTATTGATCTTTCTACTGTGAAAAACAGATACTAGAAATAATCATTTTCTACAATGAGACCAAATTAGGAGAAGATATTGTAGATAAAATGTGTGGTTTGTATAATGTGTCTCAAAATGTAAAACAGTGGCCCGTGATAATCTTTGTACAATGTTAAGCTTTGCTTCAATCAATTCTCAAATCATACCTTTAGATAATGGGTATACAGCTCTTAAGATTGTTCATAAAGCAACTATCTAATGAGTTTGTGCTTGGACAACTTGCTCAGTGAAGTTTATTGGGATGCAAGTACACTTTCAACAAAAATTAGAGCTACACTCCTAACCAATAACAACAACCTCAAAATTACGATGAGCCACAGATACCTCCAAAAGGACGCAAATGTGAAACATGCTATTTGGGGACGCGTAAGAGAAGATTAAACTAATATGACTGCAAAAAGTGACACGCAGCAACCCGCCTCTCATATTCTGTTGTTGTGTGTTCTCCGTGCTATATAAGAGAGAAGTAGAAAGATGGATATCTCCTTATGAATCAGATGAATGAGAAATTATACTTATGTTTATACTAGTTTTAATTAAAATTAAATCTATAATTAGTCTTGTACAACAATTTTAGAAAAGTTATTTTACAAATTTTTTTATATAAGTAGTTTCCTTTTAAGACTATAAAAATTGTTTTATTGTCTCTTAAGCGCTTTTATCACTTGTGGAAGTTTAATAATAATGGATAGAATTTGATTTTTGCAAGAAAAAGCTTCATGTATAAAAAAGTTTAGTAAATCAAATAGTGCCTCTCGGGCTCAGTGCACCTGAATGTGTTCTGAAACATATTGCGCTTGATGTGATAAATGGTGAAAATTTATTCATAAAACGAAAATATAATGTAATGTGTTCATTCTCCACAATGGTTTTTGATTTGTGCTGAAATCAGAAAATGTTTCCTGGTTGTTGCTCCTAGCACTTCTGTTTCAACTATTATCTAGCCCAAAGGCATGGGGAAAGAAAAAAGCCAAAATTTATCAGTGTGGTTGCAAGAAGGCACGGTATGGCTGTTACAATAAACATCCCAGTTAAATCACATATGAGATTTCTTCATCAATTTGATTTATTTAGGGTAATTTCAGTTTTGAAAGAATAGTTTGATTGAAATTATGAGGTAATTTGTAGAATGTGAGTGATGTATCCTGAAGATTAAAAAAGTATGTAGTTCTTTGAAAAGCAAAATTCTGCTTAGAAGTATATGCTGTGTTGTAACTGGAAATTTTGCATCTTATCTATAAAAAATATTTTGCATCATACATTTTTTCATTCATTTTATAATATGAAATACAAAAGCATTTTTATTATCATTGAAATATTTTTTCTTCTTTAGTCATGTGATAACTTGTTATCTACTGAAGGTGAATGCGATTCATTTGTACGAGATAAGAGATTTGGTAAGTGTTGTACATATTTATTTTTATTGCATAGTTATCAGATTATCATTTGAAATTTTTATCTGTCAGTCACATTATGCTTGTTTTTGGAACAAAGTTTTCCTTTTGCAATATAGAAAATAAACTGATCAATTGAAAAATATGTTTTAATAAACTTTAAAAGAAATTAAAAAAATTTCTGCTCGTACCTGTTAAAATAAAATATTCTTATAAATACTGAAAATGTGAATTGAAATTTATTCTAAATTATTTTCTTATATTTTAGAAGAGTGCGACCTCTTATTTCATATGTACATATATGGCGGAAGATATATTTCATAATTAGTACAAGAAATCATTATTAAAATATACTTTGTTTATTTATTTCAATTTTAATTTAAAAGTCAAACTGTAATTATAACACTTGAATAACTGAATAATGAGTAAAACTGAGACTTTCATTTTTACATTTTAGCATCCACTCTTCCTCCTGAAGAAATTGATGCTCGATTAGCAAGACTAAATGATGGTGTTGATCTGGCATTAAGGCGAGCTAAAGTCTGGTCAAAGTATGCCAAGGATGTTATGACATACATTGAAAAGCGCTGCAGTGCAGGTGTGATGAATCATCTTATGATTTTTCTTTTATTACAAAAATTAATGCATTTCCCTTTTAGCTGAAATTATAGTCTTAAATATTTTAGATAGTAGTTCTTAGTTATAAATTTTTTCCAGTTGGATCAGACTAGAAAGTGTAAATTATACACAAGATTTGATGTTGAGATTCTATCTATAATACATTTCCCATTGCTGTTAATAATTTTACGCTATCTATTTGATATTTTTTTCCCGCCTACCTACCAGAGAATTACTTTCGTCTGTTATGGAAGAAGTTTTGTATTCCATTGTAAAAGTAATTTTCTATGTTGTGATACTTCTGTCCCTGCAGAAATTTGTGTAATGACAAAAGAATTGGTATGTTGGAGGAATACCAAATCAAAAGAGAGATGTGGTTCAAGTTCCCAGCTAAAATCCCATTACTTTCTGTGAGCTTGAACATAATGTGTGAAGTTTTATGTTGTCATGATGTAATACAACTCCCTGATGATCCATTGGGGATAGGCATTTTTGTATGAGCATTGTGAAGCTAGTCTAGTTTTTATCAATACACTTTTTGATTTTAATATTTGATTCACTCACAATCACATACTGCCTTGCCATCAACTAGGAAATGCAAGCAAAAGGTTTCCGAGGTCAAAATACTGTAACAAAACTGAAGTCTTTTTTTGTGTAGTTAATTTATCTCATTATTATACCTAAATTTTAAGAATATCAATGAATAAGGTGCTAAATAAATTATGGCAGCAGAATATAGATAAAAATCACTTTTACTTGCATACTCCTCTCTTTTCTTTTCTCTCTTCTATCCCTATACATTCTTACTATAAATTAGCTGTTTCAAAATAATATACTGAAGATGCTAAGAGAAAAAAAAATGTGACTGATAGAAATATGTCAATAAATATAATTAATTACTTAGATATGAAAACTGTCAAAATTACCTAAAGCCGTTTCATTTATTATTGCATTTTTTAGAAACAAAAAATGAGAATTTTAGGGAAGATTTAACCATTTATTTAATGTTAAATATTTTTCAACAGAGAGTGGATTGGAAACTGTCAATTTATGGATTAGAATATCTATAATACAGGCTTTTTCTAGGCAGTTTCTTAATTAAGATTTATTTAAGTATGTTGAAATTTTCAAGAATAAATAAAGGAATATTTGAGCTCTTAGTGTTCTGTATGAAAATTTAAGAGTGACTAACAGATAATATTTTTAAAATATACAATTTAAAAGCAAAATAGTTTGCAATAGAATAATTGGATCTAAATCTAAGAGTGAAAAATCTGCTTATAAATCAGATCTTATTTAAATTTGTGTGTTTCTTGTTAATTTCAAAGAAATCAAATATGCATGAAATAAACATATTTTTTTAAGTGTTTAATTGAAACACTGTTGGAATCTTTTGAGAGTTTTTATTGTTTCTTAAGCTTTCTGTGTGAAGATGTATTGCTATATACTTTGGCAACTATTTCTGTTTATTTTGGCCTTCTTCTCTGGCAAAAAGATGCATTTAGTATGTCATTGTAACAGCTGCTAAACAGTTGGTCAGAATATTAGCATTGATTTTTGCAACAGTTGTAATGTATTTTTAAAAAACAGAATCTGCATTACACTTGCAATATATATGAGTATTAAATATGTATTACAATAGCTAAGATTGAAATTTAATAACTTGCATATCAAGAGAGGGAGTAATTATTTTGTTGTCACAATATGTATTTTAAACACATTCTATTTTTTAAAAAAAACATGCATTTAGCAAAATGACATACTTTTTTTTTTTTTTTTTTTGATAAACATGATAATAAGCAAATAGATAAGAACTTTACTATGCCTGTACAAAAGGAAGTGAGTGGCATAAGTGGAAAATGAAGAGAAGGAGAGGATGTGTTATTGTCTCGAAGAGTTCCTTTCTAAAACAAGATCAGGCTTCTGTCTTCCTGAGGCATTTTCTTTCATCTTTTCTTTGCCTCTTAGTTCCACTAGTTGTCTGTGTTTTAAAATTTTTCTAAAGTGAAATGTGGCATTGAAAATGTATATGTTGTAGCTTCTTATTTCTTTATCAGGGTAACTTGTAAATCCTTACTTACCCCATTTTGCAAAAATTTCATGGGTCAAAGTACAAGAACCAGCTTTTCTTCTTTCCTATGCCGACATTTCATTCACAATCACCTTTTGTTGCTGCTTCTGAAGCAGTTGCAGTTCTTTCTGGTTGCACTCACTTTTATGGTTCTTTAATAACTCAAGGAGAGCAATGGAAAATATTAAAATGATGTTTCGAAAATTCTCGAGTGTAAATTCTGTGGTACAGGTTATTTCAAAGCATGTTTGAAAATCATTTGTTACCCATTTTAGAGTTTGTAACGTGAGTAATGGTACATCATCCAAGCTGTTCTTTTTTCAAATAATTTATTTATGAAAGGAATTATTTGTGATATGAGGCATTTCTGGTCCAAGTTTCTATTACAGTAAAAAAGAATGGTGCTATTTTTTTATTTATAGAAATTTAAAAGCAATATCATTAGTTTGATAAGTAATATTTTATTTTCAAATACTTTTATTTTCCTTTTATCTAAGTTTCTTTATAATATTTAGTTGAGGATAAATTTAGAAACTTTTGGCCAGGTTTCAGTATTTTGCCTGTAAACTAATAACAGATTCAAAATACATTACCTCCTGCTTTGAATATATCATTATTCTATGTTAAAGGTAGCAAAATACTCAACAGCAGTTAAAAAAAGGAAGATTTAATAGGCTTTAAAGTGATATTATTCGCTGGTTGAGAAATGCTTCTGTTGGTACACAATCTGCTACACTTGTTGCATACTAGTGCTATGTCATCTGCACACCCCAGGTACTTTTTCATGAATTACATCACTTCCATTTACTCTCATTTTATGTTTTCATTAAATTTTCGTTCTTGCCACACATTTTTGGAAGACAAATTCGCCATTTTTATAAAAGCATTATTTGCAAAATCTTATTTTACTGATACTCTTTGCAGTATGTTAAATCCTGTTGTGTGGTGGAAAGGAATAAATGCAATTATAAAATTATGCATGAACTATGTAATGGAGTTAAGATGGGTTCAAGAAATCTGTCAAGTTCAGCAGGGTTTCAATTAATTTTCTGTTTTTTTGTATTTTTTCCATTCAAAACTTTGAAATAGATTATTTTTTGCAGAAACAAATATTCTGTTTTGTTACAGTATGTTATACTATACTGATGAATTTTATAATGGTTCATTCAACTTTATTTTTTTCCTCTCTGAATAAATATGTTAATTTTCTATTTTTATTACTATTATGCGCTGAAATTCAGTTTCAAAATCCATATGAGCTGATAGTTGTAGAAGCAAATCTTACAGCAAGTACCCCAAAAATAACTAGATATACATACATACATATGCACAGATACATATCGTGGAGAATATTATTGCAGGCATATAATTGAAGCTAAGTATGTTTTTGTTCCAAATGTCCAGACACCTACAACTTAACTCTCTGAATTCCATGACAGCCTTTATCCGGTCATGAGATTTTTGACTTCATATATTTTAGCTTATAGTTTAAAATATTTTGCTTTCCTACTTTCCTTAATGAAGTAAATATCATCTTGATGAATGGAAGTTCATAAAACAGATGCTAAAATAAGTAATTATACAATTTAATTAATAAATGTTGTTTAAATACAGGTCTTCACGAGGAAATCCAAAAAGGCCTGCCACTCAGAGAGTTTATCCATTCATCAGGAATGGTCAAACTCATTGCTAATTTAGCTGTGTAATTGCTAAGAATGTTGCCTAGGGTGCACCACAGGAGCTGACTGAATTATAATGTCGAGAAAAGAAAAAGCTTTGTCCCACTTTTAAAAGGGAACATTCCAGAGAAACCAATCCAAGACGGTACAGGTCAGTTCGACGCGTGGTCAGTTCGACACGAGATCATTTCGACGCCATACTTTTTTTCCTTTTGTTTGACGCCATACTTTTCGTATTTTTATTTATTTTTAGAATAAGTTTGCATCATAATTCAATTAAATTTGGTGTCATCATCATTTGATGTTTCACACCCTACATTATGGGAATTCATAGATAGTCTTAGGCGTGTTCAAAAATCAATTGATCAATGTTATGAACAATTTGTACGTGGAGATGAACCGCAGCCCAAGCGGAATAGGTATCTGCGAGCTGATATGAGAATTAAAGTAATAGTTGAAGATTTTGCAAATAGAGAAATAATGCAATACCTGAAAGGTAGGGTGCATAATTTTGCAATGGATTAGTATAATAACAGTTCTGTGATGCAATCTTACTTATCTGTAATTATATTTGTCTGCAATATAATATAACTACTTTGTAACCATATGTTTATTTACCATTTGTGTATTTTGCTTTTGATGCTGTCCCTCATGTCTCAGGGCCTTGACGTTGGCGAGGGGGCTTCTCACTAATCTGGAACACTTTCACACATATACACACATATATTTATTTCAAATATGCATGCAAACAATCGCTAATTCAATAAATAAAAAATCTGTCATATTACTTATTAAAACTATTGACTATTATTGACTGATTTTAAAGTCATATTACTTAATAGAAATCAGTCGTATTACTTCATATTTATTCTAAAAATACGAAAAAAATATGGCGTCGAACTGTTCCTGCGTCGAAACGTACGCCGTCGAAACGACCTGCTTCGATCCAAGAGTCTCTTATCTCTCATTCCCTAACACCAACCCACTATACACTGCATCAAGGATTAAAATTCAAGCCCAAAGCTATGGCAGCTGGCTTCTCTATCACCATCCTATCAGGGTAGCAGGATTCTAAATGTAATGAAAATATTTAAATTGATTAGCATTACAGTATTATTATATATGGATGAAATATATACAACATTAATGTGAAAGAGATAAAAAGTACATGAAATCTCGTTTGATAAAAAGTAATGTGCCATTTCTGAAATTTGTCATGTTATATGTTATGTAGTCGAAATTAGAGTTCAACAACATTAGAGCAAATTCTCTCTCTTTTTGATGCATTCATTCAGAATTGCAAAATAGGTTATTGCATACAATAACAAAAATTCTTAAGTACATTGCTTTCATAATGATGTGAATTCGATTTTGTAATTTTGTTTCATTTTTCGAATTCAGTTTTATATATATATATATATATATTATTTATTTATTTATTTATTTATTTTTTATTTTTCTATTTTATTGATATAAATTGAATGCAGACTCTACTGATTCACATAAAACAGATCTCAATGCAAGTGTAAAAAAAAAATTGTGCATTATATTAACCCCCCCCCCTTTAAAAATGTTATTTCAGACACACAAATGAGGTTGGCTTATACAGAAAATCAATACTTTTAAATACAAAAGGGATTTAAAAAAAATATATTAGTTTCTTTCATTTAAGTTGAAGAAACATATTAGTTTCTTTCATTTAAGTTGAAGAAACATATTAGTTTCTTTCATTTAAGTTGAAGAAACATATTAGTTTCTTTCATTTAAGTTGAAGAAAATATTAGTTTCTTTCATTTAAGTTGAAGAAACATATTAGTTTCTTTCATTTAAGTTGAAGAAAAAATTATTAGTTTCTTTCATTTAAGTTGAAGAAACATATTAGTTTCTTTCATTTAAGTTGAAGAAACATATTAGTTTCTTTCATTAAAGTTGAAGAAACATATTAGTTTCTTTCATTAAAGTTGAAGAAACATATTAGTTTCTTTCATTAAAGTTGAAGAAACATATTAGTTTCTTTCATTAAAGTTGAAGAAACATATTAGTTTCCTTCATTAAAGTTGAAGAAACATATTAGTTTCCTTCAGTTAAGTTGAAGAAACATTCTCTCTGCCAGATTTTTCTGCAACTTTTCCCATGGAAAATTCCATATTTTAGAAGCCTAGCCCTAAAATTGGAAATAATATGAAATTAAAACAGTTTGAACTGGCAATTTTTTTTTAGAGTGGCCAGATCTTATAGCATGAAAGAGTCCTAGAATATTGTGCTTTTCATGTGAAAATCAGTTTTTCACATTTCAAACTTGGCAGGCATGATAATAAAATAACAGTTTTGTTGCTGTATAATATTGAGGTAAATGAAATGGATATGATTGCGTCATGTCATAACCATCATCAAATTTTGCGACATAAAATTAGTTCATCAGTGGGTAGGTTAGGTTACAGTAAACAATCATATCTATTTCATTTACTTTGTTATTATAAAGTAACCGAGTTGTTACTATTTGATCATCAATCCATGTCTTTGTATCAGAAAATGCAACTTTAATATTCTTTTATGCCGGATGCAGAAATATGGAAAAATATAATATCTGTTATTCTGTCATTTATGTTATCATTAAACCTTACAGTCAACAGCAGACAATTAATAATTTGTTTTTGGATATTTAAAAATTATACACCTATTTAAAACTATGTGATATGCTAATAGTCTAAAGATTATTTATGTGACCTAACAGAGTATTCAGTTGCAAGTGTGAAAGTATAGGAGATATATTTCATATAAACTTAGGAAATTTTGTCTGTAGTATTAAATAGGTATTAATATATTGTAAAGCACTGATTTAAATGCTGTGCTAACCATTTAAAGATTAATAACATAAAACTACATCCCTAGAACTGATGATACCTACTTATTTTTTTGCAATAATTTAAAAGTATCACAGAAACATTGGTTTTAGAAATAACTGCTGCATGTCGCATATAAAAAAATTACTTATGAAAGTGAAAAACAATTCACATCACTATTTTGCATGGATGTTACTCAATTCTCAATGGTTTTGACACAGTTTCAAATGGAATTTGTATAATTCTCTTTCAGAAGCTGAGCATGCCAAAAACCTAGTCAAATTAGCACAAACAATGAGGCCTATTCTTAAAGAAGAGGTATGTTTGCTTTTCAACTGTGAAAAGAACTCTGCATTTGTAAATTTCATCATATGCATAAAATATTTACTAAAACCATGTATCCCTTCCTTAGAGTTTCCTGCCCTTTCAATCCATTTATTATATGGCACTAGACCAGGATTATGACAATGGGCAGACCACTTTAAAAACATGTGCTGTTCTTCAAGGACACAAGTTTATTGAGGTTTGTGCAATTTCTGTATTCTTTGTTGCATTTTATTTATGCCTCAAACACTCAGTCATTTCATATTCATTTTTTCTTTTTGCTCATTATGATTATTTGAATCATTATTTTTAATAGATCGTTTCATTTTTATTGCATTTTTATTAACTTTTCTGCAGTGTGGCTGTTATTGTTTAATCCAGTGTATGATTTCATTACCTTTATTACCATGTCCTTGAATTATTTTTTATGAATGAAAAAAAGTATTAATTTCTTTTTTTGCCTCCAAAATGGAAATAAGTACTTAAAAAGGTAAATATTATGATGTTCTAAAGGTAAATATTATGATGCTCATTTGTTCTCTTTAATTTGCTTGCATAATAGTTGAAATTTTGTATGTATTTTCCTGTTTTATTTTTAGCCTCTTACTGCTAGGCGAAATGAACATGAAAGATATAGAAAACAAATTAAAGAAACATGGCACAGAGAACTAAAAAGAATGGTATGAGTTTTTGTATTGTCATTTGTGAATTTTTTAATAATATTCATATACAGTCAAAAGTCGTTAATCCGGACTCGTCGGGACTTCGGCGTTTCTAGATTATCGATTTTTCCGGATTATAGATCATCAGTTTAAATCTCGTAAGATGGCATGCAGAAATTCTAAAATTAAAAATATGAAACCGTAATTTATGAAATAAAGAACAATTATGATCTAAAGGGTATCAAAATTTACAAAAAAAAAAAAAAAAAAAAAAGCTTAATATTTATTTGTTTACTTTATTAAACATTTCTTTCAATGTAAGTTGTTTAAGTTGCTTCGTTTTATGTGATAATACTTTCTCTTTAATTCTATAAACAGACATAATTTCTTGTTCAGTTAAAAGTTCCGCTGTTCAAGTCCCGTCAATTGCTGTGCGAGAACACCGACTAACTTGTCAATCGAAATTTTTTCGTTTTCACTAACCTCTCTGTCACATTCTTCATGTCTTTATCCATTTTTTGCAGCAATTTCACTTTTTGTTTGTTGGACATTGAAACATACTTTCGTTTTGTAGATCCTTTGGAAGTTCCAGCATCGGAAATTCTATTTGACATAATCGAAAGTTCAAGTTTACTTTTATAAAATTGCTCTTACAGTCTGCAAAAAATAATAAGCGCGATCCTATTCAAAGATTAAGGAACAACGCAAGCATTAACATTAACTGAAATAGGTAATTAGATAATTTTAGCTTACACCGTCCGTTATACATTAAACGCGCAGGCGAAAACGTATTCTGCGCTTGCTCACACGCATATGCGCAGTAGTCAAGTTCTTACGCGCGCACGTAAAATGCCTGTGCGCATGTGCTAACGCGGCACATGCGCAGAAAGTTTTTAGCTTTGAGGTCCGGATTATAGATCATTCTGGATTATGGGTGTCCGAATTAACGACTTTTGACTGTATATATGTATATTTTACTCTGAAAACTTAAACTCTAATGTGGGTTTTAAAATTATCAGTATTTAAAATGTAAATTCAGTTTAAAATTGATTTTAGCTATCCCTATTTATCATTTATGGTGCTTTTGTAGCATGAGGCAGTAGCAAATCTCCGAAAAGCAAAAGCTCTGTACTTCCAGCGTCAACAGGAATATGAAAAAGCAAAAGATTCTGCCTTAAAAGCTGAAAGCAGTGAAGGCATGGAGACTAGTAAAGTTGATAAAAAAAGGCGAGTTGAGGACGATGCTTTACAAAAAGCAATGGAAGCTGAAACGACCTATAAATCATGTGTCCTAGAAGCAAATGAAAGGCAACTTGCATTAGAGAAAATAAAAGTATGTGTTACTAAAAGTTTTCACTGTTTGAATTTTACTTTTTTTTTTAAAAAAAAGAGAAAACATATTTTAAAAAAGTGTTTATCAGAGGTTCTTTAAATTTCATAATTAGTAATGTTTTAAACTTTTCTTCTGACAAGGGGGAAGTACTGCAACAGGTTCGTGAACTGATTTATCAGTGTGATCAGACAATGAAAGCTGTAACTGTGGGGTATTTCCAGTTGCAGTCAACATTAGCTGCTCATGCACCTGTCCAGGTAATACATCTTAAAGATAAAGTATTTGATTAAGTATTTTTTAAATCTAATTTGATTTAAAATTTGGGAAAATGTGTATAGAGTTCTGTATTAGCATTTAATTATATGTATAGCATTTATACATTACTGTATAACAGTCACATACAGAAAGTAAAAATGAAATATATCTTAGGTTAGAAGGAATCTTTATTATTCAGTAATTTATGTTGCTGTTTTTCTATGCATCTGCTATACATAAATTATCACTATATATTAGTTGATATGAATTATTTCCTTTTTGTCTAGTATCAGACTCTCTGTGAGAGCAGCCGCCTGTATGAGCCTGGTACTCAGTACATGGAATTTGTAAAAAGGTTACCACAACCTACAGGATGTATTGCAAATGGCACACTGCCTTTTACATTTGAACCTTATTCATCAGATAACAGGTAATATAAAAGTGTACCATTATATAACATATAATGGGGAAACTATTGTTATAATTTTCTATATTAAAAATTTTAGAATTTCTTCAGTTTCAGAATAGTCTATTAAAAATGTTTATCATTGTTTGACTTAAAATATGTAATGATATGTAATGACTTAAAATATGTAATGACTTAAAATATGTAAATACATATGGTACTTAAAATTTCAGACCTTTATTCATTAATTTTTACTGGAAAGTAAAAATCTTTGTTATATAAATTAAAGTCTAGTAGAAAATTCAAGAAATGAATAACATGATGTAAAACACTTATTCAATTAAAAACAATTTCATAATTCAAAAATATGATTAATATGGATAGTATTTATCCTGGAATTTCAAAAAGATTTAAAGAATTATAAGTAATGCATATGCTAATTTTACTTCCTTGCATATCTATTCTAATGCTTATATTAGCCATATAAGTTCATGTTGATTTTCAGAATACCTTTATCTCAAAATATATAAAAATTTAAGAAATATTATTACAATTATTGACTTCTGAGAATCATCAAAATCTGAAAAAAAAATTACAGTAGTTTATTATTTTCAACTATAAGTAGTTAAGGCACATTTAATAATTTTAACATCTTTTAGAGATATGCTATTGTTTAACAATATGAAAATTTAAGTCATTACAAAAGAGCTTATGCTCAAATTTAACATTAGAATAAATGGAAGTAACTATTTAGGCTTATAATGCTTATTCTAGCAGACTATACTTATCTAAGAGAAGAAAAATTAATAATTAAAATCATTCTTTTTCGCTTGTTACTGAAACAGCCAACCCTATACTTTATTGATTTCATAAGTAGAGTTTGCATGGAAATGTCATAAAATATTAAATATTATGTAAAAAATATTATAAAGTTATCATTATTTATTGAATTAAAGGAAACAATTGTCTATAATAATTCAGTATAGTTGAAAATACCTTCTTTGTGGAACATTATAATAATTTAATGTTGTATAAATATATTTTTTCCAATATTCATGTTTAATAATACATTTAGTTTATTAGTTTCCATTTGTTAGTCATAGTCAAAATTACGATGAAACATGAGATTACCATCCACAGTTCCAGGTGATTCCAGTCTTGCAGAAATTGTGAACTTAGAGATCATGACTATTGATGATATTCAGTCAAGGATGATAATGCTTTCGATATAGCCAGAACCTCAGATTTTTTTACTTTTTCAAATTTAGAGTTTTCTGTTTTGTTAAATGTGTACTTATTATCTTTATCAAATTTTGTATTAGAACAAATATATCATTCAGAAATTACAAAAAAAAAAATTATATTGTCGGGCCAAACTTGTGGAAGTGCTCTCATTTTGTGCTCTCGTATAAAAGTGTATCCCATATCAAAACATTTGAAGACATTTTTAAAAAATGTTCATGATTACCAAAATCACCTTTTTGATAGTCTTCGTTGGAGCAGATGTTGTAAAAATTATTAGGAATTCTGAAGAGGTTAATCCATTAGGAAAGGAGTTTTCAAAGACATATAGAATGTGCTGATGGTATGCAGACATAACTACCATAAATCTGAAATCATGAAATTTAATGGCATGAATCCTACTGTGGTGAAACTACTTTCATTGCCTTGATGAAATTAGCAGTTTATTTACCAAATGGCATTTGAAAAAAATTCTGTTGTACGAATTCAGAAACTATCAAAAAGTCACTTGTCTTGTGTAGAAACAGGAAAAACTGAGCAAATTTTCGGCCTGAAGTATTCAGGTTAAAAGAACATAGAAAACAGAAATATCCAGTATTGACAAAACTGATTAAATATGTTTAAACATGTTTCTATAGACCCACAGTCAAAAATGCATATACAGTAAACCCTTGCCGAATATGGATTTGCGGAGCGCAGTATTTGTGATATCTTAATTTTTCCATTTAATTTGTCCAGAATTAAAATTTCATTCATACCTAGTTCAGCATTCGTTCTTCAACACTGAATTTTTGCTGGCATCAGCTCTAGCCCGAAGCTGTCAACAATTTTAAAGGATTTTCATCAACTGATATTGAAGCCAAAGAAATCATACAAATTGCAAAAGCAATTGATGGCAAAAGATTTTCAGTGATGTAAGGAAGAGAAGTCAAAGAATAAATCGAGAAATGATGAATTAGTAATCTTATAACACCAGCCAAAGTGAAAGCAGTGAAGTAGAAGATGAAAGGCATTTAACTTACAAAAAATCAAATGAATTGTTAAATTTGATGCAGGAATCTGATTTTGCAATAGTGATTGATTTTGCAATAGTGAATTGGTGATTAATTAGAAAGAAGAGGACAGTTTAAGACGAGCATTGAAAAAAAAAAAAAAAAAAAAAAAAAAAAACCTGTCCTGTTTATCACAAAACTTTTAAAGAGTTACATCAGGCATTGTTCCAAGCAAAAATCATAGCTTTTAAAAAAGTAATTGTGTCACATGTAATTATTAAGCAGTAATAAAAATTCTTTCAGTTAAAATTAGTTTCATATTTTCCCTTTTAATTACAATTAAATTCTAATTAATTTAATTACATTTTTTACATAAAAAATTAACTTTGTGGAATGTGATTTTGCTGTATGCACAAGACATTAATGACATAACCGCCATGTTTAGCAAGGGTTTACTCTAATTATATGAGTGGTAGTATAACAGAATGTGGAACTTGAATACTGTTGGCCTAGTTGCTCTGAAGATTATGAAGTACTATTTATTTTCATAAAGGCAAAATATGGGTAAAGTGTTTGGATCAGAAGATCCCTCTAATGACCCTATATGTAAAGATTTTGAGGATTATTTATTGAACAGCTGAAGAGATTACTAAAATTATTTTCTTTGTATGAACATTCTTCTTCTTAACAATACCTCTTCTTCAACGCCTGGTAATATCTTTGCTTCAGGTTCTAAGGGAATAAATACTTCACTAATTGTTTGAAAATTTGTGCAAATTCATGTTTGTATGTGTAATGCATTAGTTTTTGGAATTATTTGAAATGAATTGTTATTTTTCAGCGATCCATTAGAGAGATGATATATCAAATATGTTTGTCATCAGAGGTTTCACAGTAATTTAACATGTGCCTTGAATATTAAACTTGTGTGTGAAAATTCTATATTTCCATTTATTTCCAAAAATCGTAATGTCTGTTTATTACTTTTAATGATAAATTTTTAAAATTTTTTATAGCTCATACAAATATCAATTTGTACATGATAATATTCTGTTTTTCACCTGTTCCTTACAAGGATACATGTAAAAAATAATGTAAGGTGCTTAATCAATTTTTTTGTTTAGCTAAGCATGAAGATAAATAATTTTGAAAATAATGTATTATTAATTTTTATTATAATTAGTAATTTCTTTTTCTAAGATTGGATAAATTAAAGAACCATTATAAAAACTATTTCTATTTCAGTTGAAGTCTTTATATTCTATTTTACTTGGTTTTGGACTTTAATATTTCAACTTTATTATTTACTGGTATTTTACTTCATAGGTTAGACAGAGTTAGAAGGTCTAATGGTTCTACTGAAAGCAGTGAAGATGTTATTAACCATAATTTTTTAGAGCATAAATATTCTGATAAAGGTACACACATCAGCTATATTAATTTCCTATGCTCATATATAACAATTTTACTGTTTATATTATTTTTCAAAATTAAACTTATGATGCCTTATAGGGTTCAAAATAAAAGTATTTTTCATCTTGATGTTATTTGAATATTTGTGGTTTGTGGAATTACATCATTCCCTCCACCCCTTCTCTTATATAAATTTTTTATGCTCTTTTATGTATAGTTTGTTATGATTTTTCATTAATGTAAAATTAATACTCTAGAGAAGATATTACTGGATTTTGTTCTTAAATATATTACAATCACAAGTTTTTATGAAAAGTCTTTGATGTGTTGTTTAGTAATATAATTTTGAAATAAAATGAATCCCTTTTTTTCTGAATTAATTTTTGATTTCGAACGCAAGCATCAGTTGCACTAGCATTATATGGAACTATTTTACTGAAGGTATTAAATATTCATTTTCTGTTAGACATGTTATTAATGTTACTGAAGCATTGCATTTCTTTTTTTCTGTATGATTTGAATATTTTAATTATCCCTATGAAATCTATTAGTTACTTGTTGCATTTTAGAAAGGTTAGTTTTTAAGATTTTCTGATCATCAGTTCAAGGTAATGTTTTAAAATTAGGCATTATTAATTAGTTTTAAAATTAGGTGATTGATTAAAATAATTTTTAATTTGGAAAGACCACAAAAATAATGTTATTATTTGTATTCTAAAATTTTGAACAATTCTGTTCACAATAAATTCACATTTCAATTAATTTTCATTAATTAAAATTGCATGCAAAATTTGAGAAATTCCTGAGAATTAAAATTTAAATGAAAACAGCATTTTCAAGGATATATTATTGTTATTGTTTAAATAATTTTAAAATTATTTTCTCCTTTTAAAAATTGTAATTTGCTTTGATGCATGCACATGGAATTCATATAAAAATATTACAAAATAGGCTTTCAAACAGACCAAATGTATTTTGTGCCGCTTTAGCAGAAGTATTTTGCAGTTTTAGTTCATTTATTTTTAATAATAATAATAAAAACAATAATATAGTTAAGTATTTAATTAAAAAATATAATTTTTAAATACTCATCTAATAAATCCTTAAAGTACCTTAAAATATCAGCAATATGGACTTTTCAAAACTGATATAGTAAATACTAAATCCATGTATTTATGAATAAGGCGTACAGTTTGGAATTAAACTAAAAACAAAAGAAGAAAAAAAATCAAATAAAGAAGCAGAGGGTGTAAAATTGGTTGTAACAAACCAGATAAGGATCCAATATACTGAACTTACTTTTATCATGCTGGCAATTCACAGGCTAAGAATTATCAAATTTATGGATACTTGCAAATGACACCCTAGGATAAGAAAATAACTAATTCATACTTATTGGAAGAGTTCTGAAGTGGTTAGTTTACTCGTTTTCATGCATTTCTAAATGCTAAAAAATGTTCAGAGATCAATGCATCACTTGGATATTTATTGCTATTTTATTCACTCCAGTGTGCAATCTCTAAACCTCTTTCTTCATCATTTTTAGAATTTTTTCCTCTTTCTTCATCACTTCTCAAATATATGTGGCTGAGAGGCCAGAAGGGATTAATTAATTAAAATAATCGAAGGTATTTAAAAACCCTAAATATCTTTTTCAAGAAATCACAGTAGTTCTTTATCTGTGCCAATAACATAATCAAATCTATATATCCTATACATATATTCATCTTCTCCATCTTTATCATATCTCTTCTATTATCATCAGATTTATGTGATATTAAATTATTTGAACTTAATTTATTTTTAATAATTCTGTTTAACCTCAGAATACCCCTTCCAGCCAGCAAGCTATTGAAGAAAAATTAAGTTAGTTTTAAGTTGTATTTGTTTAATTTTCCACATCTTTTGTCTAAACTTCATTTTTAGCCCAAAGATACAATTTGCCCAGAAAGGCTCTTAATTTTGTTTTGCCATTTTGCGTTGATACACTGTAAACAGAAAATCACTTTTTAAATTGTTGCCACCAAATATTAGAGCGTTGTATTGTATTGCATAAATGTATCTATTTTTCTCGCATTTTGATAAAACAAAATGCGAGAAGCCATCAAATTTTGAATAACGTCATCTTCCACTGAATATGGGCATCTGAAAGCCCAAATTTGGAATTTGTTTTATTATCGATTTCATATTTTGTCAAACATTAAAGAATTTTTTATTAACAAATCAACGTTTTCAAAGCGAGTAATGGTAAAGCTGTATGGAAAAGAAAGCGGAAAAAAAAAGAAACATACTTATCCCCAGCATGCCAGACTCTGTATCCTAATGATATGCTCTTTTTAAATTATTTTGCGATACTGCTCTTCAATTTAATTGTATGATTAGAGTGTGAAGAACATGATAATTAATAAATAGAGGTAGTACACAAAACGTTAAAAAAAAACTCCTTTGGCTGTAATATAAAATCTGAAAGCATTCAGATTATTATTATTATTATTATTATTTTTTTAAGTTTGCTTATTTGAAGTAAAAGAAAGAGATTTATTGATCACTTAATCACTTAGTATTACTGTACATGATAATCTTATGGTTATTCTTATTATTTATTACAGCATTATTATTATTATTCTGTTTCAAGTTCTTTTTCCAATGTTGAAAAATGTATAGAATATCCTTGTTTCTGGTTTATATAAGTGAATATAATTATTATGTTTTTGTAGTTTTTTTGTAACTGTTACAATAAATTCAGTATTTTATTTATTATCATAACTACTGATGGCAGCTGACTTAAATTCATAAACTAATCTTCCTAAAAGGAAAAGAAAAAATGGCTTTCCTCAAATGGCATTTACTAATTCTGATTATATTTTTTGGCAGAAAAAATAAGAAATCAGCAGCCAATAAAAGCATGGGGTTCTCCTACCCAAGCTGCAGTTGGAAGTGATTCTGACAGTATGAGTAGTTGTCCTAGTAACAAATCTCAAGATACCAGTCCCACTGCTAGTCCACATATTTCAACAAGAAAAATTGTTCATGTTTCATCTGGAGATGAGCTGGAAACTGATCATGATAATGGTGACTATTCTGAATTTTTCTCTGGAATGTATAAATTACTCATAGAGCTTGATATATAAATTACTTATATATAGCCTTAAATCAGTGGTTTCAAACTCAAATTGCATGCGAGCCGAATCCAAGACCTAAAAACAGCTGAAGGACCAAATTAAAAAAAAAAAATAATATAATTTTTTTAACAATGAAAATTTTATATCAAATAAAAAATAAAATTTAAACTGTATTAATAATATCCCATCAAGGAAAAAAAATCTAAATTCACATTTATTTTCTATTTGGTGCTTGCAAGACATTTTTATTAATTATGGTTTGTAATTCAAATATATATTGACAGTGAAATAAAATATTTAGACTGACATTTCCTTCAAATAATTCATACATATTTAATTTATCATTAAATAACTTACTTTCATTTAAACTAAAAATAAACAAATTACAAAACTTTCTAAGTTTTCCCGAGAAAATTTACCAGTCAGGACAAAACTTCAGAATAAATAATGATAATTTAGTCTCTTTCTCTTATTTATAAAATTTTCTTCAACGGATAAATAAAAATACATATGTGTGTACATAAATAATTTTAAACTTCTTTACTTCAATTACAACTTCACACTTGATGGCATTTTGATTCTGATAAAATTTATAACATTAAAGAGAAATTACTAGAAACTATCTTCATCATAGATTGGAGATACTTACTGTCAATTGGGTTCTTATTAATTTTCAACTGTGAAAAAAGTCTCTTTACATATAAAAGTATTCACAAACAAAGCAATTATTCTTAGTGCAAAAATTAATAACTGAGCTTATTTATTTTTGGCAAGTATAAATAGAAGATAATGAAATATATGTCTTCAGATCTTTGAATAGTATTTATATCACACTGTAAATTAATTAGCTCCATTTATCGATTTTCTAGTGCATTATTCCTGCTTGTTTTTAATTTAAATGAAAATGTAAATCTGGATTTCAAATAACTAAAATCTTGAGATCTTTGGAACAAATACCCTATTTGTCATAAATATGACTGAAGTGTCTTAGCAGGCCACATAAAATTGTTTCATGGGTCACTGGTTAAGACTACTGATCCTAGACCATGACACTTGTCTTTATTACAAGTATTTTTTTTTTTTTTTTTTTTTTTGTATTCCTTAATTTAATCAAATGTTGTAAAAAAGCAATGTAGTAAGTAGTATAAAAGTAATGTCAGTGCACTTAATTTATTGAAAAACCTAGTTAGGTTTATATTTATACTGATATAGCAAGATATTTTAAATTTTTATAAAAAGGCAAATAATTAAAATTCTTGGGGGGGGGAACTAAACATTTATCTGCTTGCAGCATTATACATATTTTAATATATTACATTGGTATCCTGAAAAGTAATTATTTATAATATTAGTTCTGAATTTAGAATAGAAAATTGAAATTTTATCATGATAATAATACGAAACACAATCATTTCATGTCCTACAAATTAAAGAAAATTTCTGGAAAACAAATTTATAATTTTAGCCCTCTGAGCACATGACTGGCTTTATCCAGTCATGAGATGTTTTGTTACTTGTCACGTATTAACTTGTAATTTGAGTTTCTTTAATAATGTAAATATCATCTTAATGAATGTAAGTTTATAAAAATAGAGACTAAAATAAGTAATTATGCAAATTTAGCTAATAAAAGTTGTTTAAATACAGGTCTCTGTGACCGATTCAAAATCCTGCTCTATTCTTAATTAAAATCCTCCTAATAGTTAATTATTATTCAAATCCTATTTAAATATTTTGAACAAACTTGGCACATCATATTGAATGAAAATTTTTAAGACTCCTTTTAGAATGCATGTACATTATATAAATATATACAAGGTGTTTGAAAATGTTTGTTTATTTGATTCTTTTCATTCCACTGGATTCACTGCAGAGACAACCATCATGTGTTCCAGTATTCTGTTGGCTCTGCTAGAACAACATACGCAGACAGTATCGTAATGCAAAAAACATGGTGATACTGAAGCCATGAACAATATGAATATTTATTTAACATGTGTCACTTCTGTATTTTTTGCTTTGACCGCTGAAAAGATAATGGATAAGGAGAAGAACTAAAATGAAAATGAAGACAGTTTTGAGCTGTTCATTCAAAATTTACCTAATTCTAAGGTGAATTATTACAGTTCTGTGATTATTAGCAGTGACAGTGAAATTATAATATGAAGGAGATGAATAATTAATTTCATTGAGTGATAGTGAAAATTTAGAGAACAAAAATGAATGGTGTGTTATAATGGGAAGTGAGGGCATAGTATTCAGAAAGTATTCATTTCAGAGTATGGCCATTTATGTTAATATGTATTTCAAGATAAAAAATATATAATTCAAAATTATAAATTAGCAATAGCCTTGTGGTGTAGTGGTCGAATCCGCTATGCAAACCCTGGGTTGTGACATCAGGTTGAGAAAAACACAGCATAAAAAAATTTATTGAACGAAAAAAAAAATGGCTATATACGATCAAGAGAAAAACCTGTCTATTCAAAAATTAAATTCTATACATTTTACGTGCAAGAGCAATACGTAGCTCTCGAGCCTGCGTTTTTAACATTTCTTACAATTTAGTATTATTTTAATAACAACTATTAAAAACATATTCGTAAGTTAAATAATAATAATTTTCAGCTTATGCTCACGAGACATCCTTGTCCATTTTAATCTTCAGTTTCTTCTTCCTTTATGTGACCTTATCATAGCCTCATAATTCTTCATTTTAATTTGGGTTTCTCTCAGTTCTAAAATTAGTAATTGCTTTTAATAATTTTCTCTAGACTGCATAATTACTAAGTTAATCCATATCATATGACTTTTACACAATGCTCTGATGAAAACAACTTCCAAATGCTGTCAACCAGTAACAGTTTTAAAGCTTTATTAATTAATCAATCAAATTATATTAAAACCAACATGAATTAGGATTATTATTGGAATTAAGATTTTGTCCTGAACACACTGCACTTCATTTTTGCTGCTCTGCCTTACTAAATTGATGCTACACTTTCTTCTTACTGCAACAATATAAAAATTGTAAATGTTCTGGAACTGGCAAGATTAATGTCCTAAGTTATTTGTGGCTGCAGTTATGCTTCATACTTCAGTATCTCATGTATGACATTTCTCTAATCTTCACACATATGCACTGCATGATAGTGAAAGTGCAACATCGCAACAAACAATAAGTGATGTTTATTACAAATGATACACTTATAAAAAGCAGTTATACAGTATGTTCAGTAAGTTTTAGTACCACAGTAGGGGCAATAAAGGCAGCAGTATGTCTAATGTTTTTATGTAGACATAAAGAGTACGTAGATTGTCTCCTGAAGATAGACATCCATTCCCTGTCAACCATTTGCTGCAATTCATCTTCTGAATGTGGTGGCGGCAATGTATGCAAGTGATATCTAATCATAATCCTTACATGTTCGATGGGTGAGAGATCTGGGTATACAGTTGGCCAAGGAAGCATCTGGGTACCTTGTAGGTCATGTTGGCTGAAGCGTGCCATGTGTACTTTGGCATTATACTGCTGGTAAATGACATTTGACACCCTCTGAAGGAAGAGTAGTGCTGTCAGATGGATCACGTCATTAATGTAGCACTGGACCGTCATACTGCTAACAATACTGACTAGTGCTGATCTGCTATTATATATGATGGTGCCCCAAATCATGATGAAACATTGTCACTCAGTGTGGCATTCCACATTTATGGCCAAATTGAATCTTTCATGACATCACTGCCAAACTCATAGATGGTAGCTGTCACTGCTTAAACAAAAGTGTAACTAATCAGAAAGCACAACATTATGCCACTCTGATGCCCATGTAGCTCTATTCTGACATGACTGCATATGCCTGTGCTGTTGGCTCAATATCAGACTTCTTTACAGATACCATACATATAAGCCTCTGGTTGCCAGCAAATAATGGTCTGATATGGGATAAGGAGAATGGGCCAATATGGGAGCTTCAAGACTGTTCCACACTTGCCGCAAAATGTCAGCAGAAGTAGCCTGCAGAATCAATTCTGCATGCCCATGAATGTACTGGTCCACACATGCTAAAGGCATTCTGACAACACCGACATCTCTGAAATGTACCGCATTCCCTTCTTCTAACTATCTTTGCTATAGGTATGCTATAGATATGTGTAGCAGCCCCTTTAACATTTAGTAATTTCACATCAAATTGTTCAGTAACCTTTATTACAGCATAGAATTTTAAAAGGTTCATCATACAATGTTTTCATGAAGTGAAAAAAAAGAGAAAAAACAGCGCATGTTCTAAAAATGGAACATCTAGGAAATAACAGACAGAAATTTTTTTACAGCAGTTTTTTTGTTTCATAGTTTTTACCAGTATATTCTAATGTGAAATTGATGTTGTTGTGTCTTTTATTTCTGGATCATAATGCGGCATGTAAAAGGTTAAGGATGAATTATGATTATAGTTTTGTAGTAAAAGCAAAAATGATTTTATTACTACACTACATTTTTTTATAAAATGTTTGGGTCTAATATCAAGTATTATTTTTTTGAAAGTTTTTTTTTTTTATAACTTTTTTATTTTTTCAAATATTTATAACTTTTATTTTTTCAGCTCCTAAAAATTCAAATTAAGCACATCTATTAGTTAATAAACTAGATATTAAAACCTTTTAAATAATTGTTTATAAATTCCTGTAAGTTAGCTAAATCTAATATTACTTCTAGTAGATGCGTTTGGACAAGCAAGGAGGCCATGTATGTCAAAAGCTGCAGAGACTCACACTTTTAGGCGCTTGAAAACTCCCTCTAGATGCAGAGAATGTGATTCTTATGTATATTTTCATGGATTCGAGTGTCTTGAAGTAAGCATCTATATCTTTTTTCCCTAGAAAATATGAAGGTGTATTTATTTGGATTTTAAGTTTAAAAAAAAATTATATTTTTGCATGAGATTTTTCAATTTCAAATATAAATATGTAAAACTGAGAATGTCTTGGAAGAATCTTTTTCCTTAGATGCTACTTACATTCGCTTCTTTGATGCTCTAAGGTTATTTTAAAATGAAAAGTTGTCTTAATGTGAAAAAAATCAAAAAGTATGGTGATCCCTGGCAGGAATAAAATTTTGACCTTATGCCAATAGATGTAATAATAATTTTAAATAAATAAATACTCACAGAGATAAATATGTGAAATGCTAGGCTCACCTCATCTAGCCCCTTCGAGGCCTGTCATCTTGTGAAGTGGTATATTTACTATTTAAAAAAAAATTAACCCTGATCATCTGATCATCCCGTGATTTCCGTGGGCATATGTTTTTCTTCCTTTATTGAGCAGCGCATCCCGTTTTTTCTCCGTTTAACCATTGAAATAAATTATATTCAATATTAGGTGTTTAGTTTATGTTTTGGCCAACAGATATCGTTAGTTCAATTGCGGCATTTGAAGGCACGTGGTATTAGCACTGAAACTTCACTTTTTGCCACTTTTTTTTCTTACAGAAATGGCTGCTAGAAAATGTTCAGCAATTATCTTGATTATTTAATTAAATTATTGGATTATTTATTAGATTAATAATTAGATTTATTGAATCTGGTGCAAAACTCTATCATACTAAACTGCATTTTTAAGGTATTTTTCTCTCAGAGCTTTATATTTTCTTAAATTTTATACATTTTACTTTTTTATATTATGCAGTAAATAGAAATGAACTGTAATTCGACTGAAATTTATTTTTAAAAAATTTTGGGGGGGGGGGTGATAATATCTGAAATTGGTTTTTCTGGCAACTTAGTTTCTCATGATAAAAATCTATATAAAAATATTTTCTAGAAAGAAAAAGTGCATTTTTCAATTCTTCTGCATATATAGATTTAAAATATAAGAAAAAAAAGAAGGAAAAAAAAAAAAAAACCCCCGCAATTTTGGAAGCAATTTTGGTCCGCAAATTGAGCAGAGGGTTAATTAATGATAACATAACACATAACTCCATAAATATAAAACTGGGTATTCACAGTTCAGTGATGAAAATCTATAGCTTTTACAGCCACTTGAATTAACATTCGTCTTTTTATTAGTTATCTAGCATTTTCTTGATAAAACAGAATTAGTATCTAATATTTATATTTTTTTTCTAAAGCAGAACTAAAGCAGAATATGTATGTTAACACCAAGTCTCCTGAAATGTTAAGATGAATGTCAGTTTTTCGTTGAATCTATTTATGAACAGGGCATAGTGATATTGTCAGCCACTTGCTGTGTCTATATTTAGAGGGCATGATCTAAGTTGTTTTTACAAATAACAACTAAATAAAAAAATATTTTGCTATAAATTATTAATTTGTTAAATTTATACAGTACACGAACTGTACTGGTTGCTTGCAGTGTCAGAATGCTGGACTTTTATAAGTTTCTATGCTCACTATATTATATACTTTATGCTGTTTGTTGTGCAAATCTGTCAACATAAATATGATTTGTTAGTTATAAGCAATGCAGAAAGGTGTAAGTTATTTCATTGCAGTGAACTTTTAACTGTACTGTGTATTTTTAGCTAATGTTGAAGACATCTAATGAATCTTGTTTAGCAGTTTCAGTTATAGAGGATTTTTTTTGTACATAGTTAAAAACATTTTTGATACATATTTGAGATACTAATTTTTTAAATGCATTGTGCTCATTTACTGCGTATGTAAAAATTATACACCTTTATTTGAATTTCTTTATCTAGTGTGGTCTGGCTAGTCACAAGAAGTGCCTTGAGTCTTTAGCAATACAATGTGGTCGTAAACGCCTTCCACGGAAGATGACCACTTTTGGAGTAGATTTAACTACACATGCAAATGAATCTGGTGAAGAGATCCCTTATATTGTGAATAAATGTATAGCAGAAGTTGAAGATAAAGGCTTTTGCTTAAAGGTAAGTAATGATGATGATTTTTCATAAAAGTAATAAGAAAAGAAGAATCCACTTGATTTAAAAAAGAGCATAGATGATAATTTTAAGATCTGCAGCAGTGCATAGCATTACTGCTAATTCACTTTCATTTTTCAGTTGTTTGGGTATAATAATTTAAATATTTTGTACTATTATGTAGTCTATATTTCCCCCCAAGCAGTTCTTCTTTAGTATGGTACAGCTCCAATTATCCGAACTCCAGCTATCCGAATCGCACTCAGAATTTAAGAAAAAAAGGTACTTACGTATTATCGCAACCAGGTCAAAATTTGCATAAATTGCGAAATTTGGCAACCCTACTTACGGCAATCCTACGTGTTATACGTAGTTTTGTAAAAAGAGCATTTAGAGATTCACAAAATTTTCCTGCATTTTCGTGCAAATTTTTGTAATTTATGAGAAAATAGCAGTGTACATGGATAAAGTGAAGAGTGTGCGCAATGCCATTTTTGTGCAATTCTGGGATGTTTTTTTAAGTAAAAATAAGTCGACGTGTACATGGTTATGGCGGATATGGTTTTTAATCAGTGCTAAAAGCAATAGCCAAAAGATTTCCGCTGAAAAAATAATTCTGCAACTTATTCAAATTCGAAACTGGAAGGGTTTAATTGCTATTTTATATTTTAAAAGAAAATAATATAAAAAAACTGTATTAGAAATTATCTGTAATTAATAAATGTACATTTTCTTTCTATTCATACTTTTTTACTCAAACTTACAAATAGCGTCAAAACTTACGAATAGCGTCAACCTGGTTGCGATAATACGTAAGTACCGAAAAAAATTAAAACTGAGTGATACAATGAAATTTTCGTCCCTGAGGTGAAAAAGCACCAAAAATATCTTGGAAAAGAAGGCAGTAAAGTGCTTTTGATTATTAATAATTCACTGACTCACCCCACCGGAGAATTGTTGGAAAGAGGGAATGGCCAGTTTACAACAATCTTTTTACCACCAAACTTGTTGTAACCAATAGAACGTTTTGTTATCGAAACCATGAAATGCCATTACAGAAGCCAACTTTTAAGGAAACCTTTGGTAGGGAGCGAAGACGAAGAAGGGGTGTTGGCTAACCATAAAAATTTAATTTGAAAGATAGCACTTACATGGTAGCGAAGCTTAGAGCTTGGTTTAGGCAGCCACATTAAGATGTGCGTGGAACAAGTTGAAAGGCATACCAACTGAAGAAGAGAAGGAAAAGGAGAAAAAGGGAAAAAAGCTCAAGAAAAGGAAAGGGAAGAGACAGGAGAAGATGAGGATGACATGTTACTTGAGGAAGTAAGAAAACTTCTTTTGAAAATTCCTGAATGTTCAGAAGTTAATGCTGAAGATACAGCAGAATGGATGGTATGCGATTTGTCAGACTCTTTGTTTCAAATTATAAATGGTGATGAACTTTGAAAGTGTCGAGGAAGAAGAAGACCTTAATGTTGAACATCAGCTAGTGAAGCGTATGCCGGTGTTAAAATTGTGTTGAAGTGGTTGGAGCTGCCACATGCAATTTCTCATTGTTAAGTGGATGTGTGACTTGGCTGCCCGAAAACGGATGAAGACAGTTAAACAGCTTATGCTGAACGACATGTTCAGCAAGCAATGACTTTCAGCACTTGTAAGTACAGTACATCATGCTTTATAACATGTACATAAAAGTGTTGTCTTTTCATTTTATTTAATTAAAACCACTTTTTCTTTAAATATTGTTATTTTCTCCCATTTCCAACATACAGTATATACAATAATTAATTAAAGTGTATATGGATCCTTTGTTCGGAAAAAATCAAATTACCCGAATTGGATCCATTCCCAATTGATTTGGATAATCAGAGTTCTACTGTATTTCCTTTTTTTGTTTTTGTCTGTATTTTATTGTACTCTTTAGAATCAGTTTGTTAGTCTTCACGTGAAGATAGTGGAAGTTTGAAATTTCTTGTCTGCAAGTTATCATATAATTTTATTTAAATATAATATTTTGTGAATTTCTGAAAAGAGTTTGAAACAAAAGTGTTAATACTTTTTTTTTTTTTTTCTTATAATATTCTTTCTTTTTAAAGTAAACAAATGCATACAAAATTTCTGAATCGCCAACTTTCAGTTCTTAATCCTTGAAATGGTAAATTCAACAAAAAGCAATAATTCAAAGGAAAAAAGATGTTCAAAATTATAGAATGTTTGGTAAATACTTGAAAATTCAACTTTTTTGCAGCTAAGAGCTTTTCAGTGTATCTGTCTCATCTAAATTTTGATTTCATGGCATCCAGATATGGATATGCCAAGAAAGATAGTCCAAGATGAATCTCGATTGATCTGTAAAGAGCACAGTGTTCTACTGAAGTCTGGTTCAAGGTCCATGTTGTCTGCACCATGCTAAATGCATTCTCTTTTGTGCTGCAGTGAGCGGGAGCAAACAGTGGGTCTTCTGGCATATAACCTTATCTCAAGAACCCTTTGGGTAGCTGTAAACCATGAAACTCTGGTTCCAGTGGCAGCATGTTTCTCACATAAGAGCTGTATTGCTGCACTTAAACTGTCAAAAAATGATCCTCATTCGTTGGTATGAATCCCAATCAACCTATTCCATGTGTTCTGAATATGGATACAGTGATCTTAAACTGTTTCCACAAATTGCAGACATATTTTATTGAGCTCTGTAGCCACCTGCACTTTTAACTGGCCTGCCTTCAATCTGCCAACAAGAAAAATGACATGAACAGCTCACAATTCATTTTAAATATCTAATTCTAAATTAAATTGATGGTTTGTTACAAAGCTGTATATACACTGGTGTGCAAAAATTAAGGACGAGACGGTTTTTTCAATATAACTTTGTACAAAAGCTTTCCAAATCAGCACATTTAATACCGTAAGATCCCCAATACGTAAGGACATGAGTAATGTAAGCAACACTTACTAAAAGAGAAATCAGAGGGATAAAAAGAAGCTTTATTGAAAAAGTAGCATGGAGCGCAATGCGACTGAAGGCCGAAACATCCCTGTGATGGGTGTCCAGCAAGAAACATCCGGTCTTTAATAGGGACTGACTGCTAGGCAGGTTTCACAGCGTCTGCCCATGCTGAGAATGAGGGTGTCAATGAGTTGTTGAGGCATTGTTGCCCATTAGTCTTGCAGTGCCAATCGAAGCTCCGGAATCGTTACTGGTGGTAAGGTACGAGCTGCCAAGCGTCTGCCTAGAAAATCCCATACATGCTCGATGGGATTGAGATCCGGAGATCGTACCGGCCAATCCATACGTTCAATATCCTCACTCCCTAAGAGCTGTTCGGCAGCTACTATGCGATACATGGTGCATTGTCGTCCATGAAAAGGAACTGCGGACCCATAGCGCCTCTAAAAAGACGCACATATGGAAGAAGAATCTCGTTACAATAACGGGTCCCGTTGACTGAACCTGCGTCGAAGATGTGAAGGTCTGTACGACTACCAAGCATGATGCCTCCCCAAACGAGAACACCGCCACCTCCATACCTGTCCCTTTCAATGATGTTCGAGGGTTGATTGCGGCTTCCCCGCTCTCTCCAGATGAGTATGCGATGAGAATCGCTACTCAGACTGAATCTGCTCTCATCTGTAAAGAGTACTCGTCCCCATTCATTGTCTCTCCAATTCCGGTGTTCCCGGCACCACAGAGAACGCCTTCTCCGATGGGCAGGCGTTAGAGGTACACACCGTACAGGGCGTCGTGCAAACAGACCACCACCGTGCAGTCTTCTGGCCACGGGTAAAACGCGATATCGGTCGTCCAGTCGTCTGTGTCGTGTGTCTAGTGATTTCTCCCGCTGTCTGCCGCCTGTTTCTTCTGGCCTGTAAGGCAATATACCGGTCATCTGCGGGTGTGGTTCCTCGTGGACGACCACTACTAAACGCCCGGATAACTGTTCCTGTAGTTTGAAATTGTCTCCAAAGTCGTGAAACGATGCTGTGAGCAATTCCGAACTCTGCAGCCACACTTGTCACACTGCGGCCTTCCTCCAACTTCCCAATGATTCGAGCTCGGGTAAAAGCATCCAAATGTCGTCTAACAGATTGATTATTCGCCATTTCTCGCTGAGGCAGCAACTCGGTGTGATTTTAACTGCTATATGGCATGCAATCTCTTTGCCAGAAATACTGATCTTACACCGACAACATGCTTTATACTACTCAGACACTCCCCCATTACGTCTACCTGCATATCTGTGCATGTGCTACCGTACATCACCTTACTTAATCTCCTGATTGGTCTTTCTGTCCGCTCTGCCTCTTCGTTCAGCTGATATGCTAATTTTTCGACTTCGTCCTTAATTTTTGCACACCAGTGTATATTTAAAATAATTAATAAGGCCTTTGTCTTATGATTTCGTTAAAAAATAATAACTTCTTTTTCACAGTTTTAAATTTATAGGCTTGCAGCACATTCATTGCATGCTCAAAGTTTACACCCTGATATGATTTATACAACCACTCAACTTTTTTCTGAGGAAATTATTAGCAAACTACAGATTGACACAAGTTTCAAGATAGTCAAGCTATATTTAAAAATTTTAGTTTTAAACTATCTTAATATAGTTTAATGGGTACTTTTCTGTTTCGCTGGCACAAATCTCACCAAGCAGACTTTATTGGCAACAACATACAGTAAACACATACAAAATGTTAACAAATGTTAGTTCTAAGAATTTTTTATTTTGAAGGCATAAATATTTTAATATCATTTAAAATTTTGTAAAAAGCCAATAAATAAAGACAATAAATTTGTAAAAAGGCATTAATTTAAGAATTTATTATGCTTTCATGGTTCAATAAGCTGATTCGTCGGTTCATATCTCGTGACCCCAAGTAATCTCATCTCACATAAACTACGCTACAAAAATCTAGTTCTCTCAATAATTATCTACATTAATTTCAAGTTCAGTCTTAATTTTAAATACAAGTTTAAATGCAAGGATTATTTCAATTCATACCAACAGCTTGGTCAGAAATTATGTAAAGCTGCAGTGCTTTACTTCGCTAGTGTATTCTCATTAGAATTGATGATTTTAATCTTTGATTTTTGCCTTTTCTATATTTTCTCCTTTGGGTGAGTGGTGTGATTGCATTCTAATTAAATTATATTTAATTGCATGCCAGTATTGAAAGAACCAATCAATCTAAGAAATGGCTGCGACTTATTTTGAAAATGAGGTGTAAAAGGTTACCAGGAAGGATATTCCGTTTGGTATCAGTTCCATTATTGTCGACTTTATCGTTTGTGCCGGCAAAACGGAAAAGTACCATTTAATGTGTACATATATATAGAAAGACATTATTATGTTTACTCTGTGCATAAGACTGAGTGGTTTTAAAATCTGTGTAGATCTTAGACCTTCAGTTTTTTTATACATGTTAAATTTCTCTTTAATAGAAATAATAAAATATTCTTAGCTCTAGAAAATTGCTTTCTTAATTATAAAGAGGTAAACAATAACTTCAAATTATTTTTAAATTGTGATAAATAAATGCCAACAGTAGATTCATCTTTTGTTCACAATTAATTAACATGAAATATTTAAAAATGAAAAAGCAAAATCATATTAATTTTTAACGTGTTCATCATCATGTTTATTTTTATAAATTGCAAACAAAAGAACAAGCTCATTATTTTTATAGATGAATTTTTAATATGTGTACTGTTTAACCACCGCTTATGCAACCTTGACTGTCACTCTGTCAAAAGACATAAGTTTGCATAATAATTTTCTAGCTAGAGAAACATGCTAATGAGAAGTAATTAGATAACTCACTGGATTTTATTGCTGTCAGGTAAATCACATCCATTTATCATATTTGATAAGTAAATCTCTATGAATCACAAGTGTGTTTTTGCTTATGTTCACATCTCTCGTGGTTGAATTATATCTATGTGTATTGTTTTAAAATCTGTATTAAAAAGTTAGTTTTATGGAAGGTAAAAGTGCTTATTATTTCACAAAATAGAAATCTTATAGTGTATGTAAAATGATTATTAAAATGTCCTCATCTGTAAAGATGTGTATTATTCACCAAATATTCTGTACTAACAAACTTTAAATAGTGCCAGACTATCATTTTAAAACACTTTTAATAAATGTCTTTTAATCCTTTGACGCGCACAATATTATTTTTATAATTTTTTTAACTAAAAACTCTAGAAATTGAGTATTATGATCGTAGAGACAAAGAATATATGAATTTAAAAAAATCTACTTTTGCCCATTGCTTTGTGGGTGGTGGTCGCACCGCGAAACAACCGCGCGTCTAGGACTTTGAAACTTACTGAGGTAGTAGGGAAAAAAAACTTACCTTTCTCCATGCACGCTTCCAATAAATTTTTAAAAAATGTATGGAAGAATTGCATTATATATAATTTTTTTATATTATTTTACAAAGTAAATCATCAGAGAAAAAAAATCTGAAATAAACATTTATGTATTTTTTCTGTAGCAGTGAAAATATAAGTACTTACATAATAAGGATGTTTGGCTAAATGGATAAAAAAAAAAGACTCAGTGTTATTATTATTATTATTATTATTATTTTTTATTTCAAAGAACAAATTTTTTTTGTGACACTGTTCTAAGCATGTTTTGTCTTTTTGGTACATGCATAGACCCACATTGCACGTTTCGCACATGTATCTTCTATGAGGTTTCTTCCTTGTGCTACAAAATGTACACTGCCTGGATCTAAATTTCACTGGTATATGCCTAGTGTTATTTAGTTTCTTTTCATCTGGCACATGAACTTTGTGGTTTTTTATGTTAATGGGGGGGGGGGTTTTGGTCTTTTTGGCTTTGGTACGGATCATTCGTTTCCCATTCATACTTATTTTATTCATATTTCGTCCCAAAATATTCAAAAAACATTTTTAATTTAAATAAAACTTTACGCGATTTCTATTTTTAATTATAACAAAGCATATTTACATTAAATTTAAACCACAGGAAATAATTTATAAAATCACAATACTAGCTTGGGGAGCAAGTGTGTTGAGATCAGAGAAAATCTCTGTAAAAGAAAGACCTTTATACTGGGCAGGTGCATGTATTGTTTAATAATAAAATAATTCTGTGGTTTCAAAACTCTTTATCTATATCAGGGTAAAAATAAACATTCCTATTTGAGAAGCAAGCAAATACCATTGTGAAGAGCCGTAGTTTCAAGGCACGACCACTGAGCCTCTAGAGCATTGTGAGCATTTTGACACAATGCTCTAGTGGGGCAGTGGTTGCGCCCTGAAACCACAAAGCAAATGCCATACATATAGAGGTTTTTTTTTATATATAAGCAGTTTAATTAATGCTATTTTTTAGTGTTTATTATAGAAATCATGATGTGCGATGAGTAACTTTTGAAATTTAAAGTTTTTTATATTAATAAAAGGAAGTTATTTTATCTCATTGAAAACGAATTTTAAAAGGCATAAGATTTGAAGTACTAAGATCTAAAACATGTATGATTTTGCAGTCATTCTGTGTTATTTAGAGGTAAAAGATCAGAAATCGATCGATTTTCACTCAAAAATTTCGGAAAGAAGAAGAGAAAAAAAAATTAAAAAATTGGGGGTTTCAGGGCGCGACCACCGCGTGTCAAAGGGTTAAGAAGCTTGAATAAAAGTCCTATTTAAAAACAAAATATAAATCCTTTTTTTAAATTTCAACAATCCATTAAAACATTTATCTCTATACATATAAGACAGCATTGACCTTCAGCTTGTAACTAAACTAGTTTATTTAATAAATTAATTATTTGCTATAAAATTATTTTTAGTCTTTATCGTATTTATTTTTTGAATATATCTATTTTTTTTTAAATTATTGTAATATTTTAAATACAGTAATGGTACAGTAATATTTGTAAATTACTGTATAACCTTCATATTTATCATATGTTTAATATATATTATAGGGAATTTATAGAGTGTCTGGTGTGAAATCTAAAGTTGAAAAATTATGTCAGAGTTTTGAAAATGGAGCTGAACTTGTTGATTTAGATGGAGTGCATCCAAATGTAGTGTCTAATGTTTTGAAATTATATCTAAGACAAGTAAGTTCAAACAATCTTTAAAATAAGAATCAGAAATAGCCTACTTGTGTTATGTAACTATTTTTGTAACCCATGGAGTCTTAATTCTGAAGTGTTTTAATCTGTTCAGCATAATTTTCCATCACTTTTTATGTTTTCAGTGAAAAGTCAGGAAATTATTACTATTACATATGATTATCAAAAATCTTTTAAATGTATACTATGCAGAATTGTATTGATAAATAATTATTAATAAAGTGAACTTGTTTACATATAGAAGTTATGATGATCAGTGTTTTGTTTGCTCGATAACATTTCAGTACCATTTCAAATATCCCTGTAACAATTTTAGGAAAAATTTGAACAGTTTAGGGAAAAAAAAATCCAAGTTTTATTAGGTTGTAAATTTCTGTTGATAAAAACTTATTTTAAGAATTAAAAATCGTGTATGCTAACTTTAAATATAACGAGGCAAAAGATTTTGTCCTCCCCCCCCCAAAAATGCATAGTTTTGTAAATTCAACTACAAATTTTTAAATATTAGTTTCTTTCATTTATCTTCTTTTACTAGCATTTTAATAAAAATTAGTTTGAAATTATATGAAAAAAATTCCTTTATGAATCATTCTCCTTTTGTTTAAAGCATTTACTTAGTATAGATTTTATAGTAGGTGCTAAAGTAATTAGATTTAAGAAAGTGTTAAACAGGTATTTCTGCAAGTAATTTTACATAAATTAAAAATCATTTATAGTTTTATTCTCAAACTGAATTTTGTTAACCTATTTGTTTTGATTTGTTCATAGAATTTTATTTGAAGTAGAACTTTTGCTTAATACATATATTTGATGAGGAAGACTATTATAGATATGGTTTGTGTAGATTAATAGTTTGAGTGTAATAATATTTATCTTTCTGTTTAGCTTCCAGAGCCACTTCTGACATACAGACTGTATCCCGATTTTATCAAAGTTGCTAAGGTAGCTAAATATTGTACTTCAAATAATATATATATATATATATGTGTGTTTAATTTTAATGTCATCCTTCAGATGTTTTGATGCCTTGAATATTTGCTACTGTTCTTAGGATTATCCTGCTCAAAAAAGTGATGATAATCTTGCTACTGTCGGAGCTGTTGAAGATTTACGAAAACTGGTTCAACGATTGCCACCTGTACATCTGTCTACTCTTGCTTGCCTTATGCATCATCTGCAGAAGTATACATTATTTTCATTTTTGTATTGTTTTATTAAAAAGGAATCTGATATTCTATCTTCATTATATTTTTAATTAGGGAACAAATCTTTAAGAATAGCAGCTGCTATGCTAATAAAAAAATTTTTAAAATGTATATATGATTAATGGAAAAACTGAAAATGAAGTTTTTTAAGTAAGCAATGAAGTGCATCTGAGGTCATTGTTCACTGCCTTTTTTTTAATGTTTGTGACACAATCTCAAATTATTTGTTCTCAAATTAAATTTGAAGAATGTTGTATATTATGAAATAGGTGTGGGAAGTGTGGTTGTTTGTGCATCTGTCTGCCTGTTTGTCATCTTTTATTTCTTCTTTCTGTGTATTCCTTATTTTCCTTTAATATTTTCTTTTTCTATATCTTCTGTACAGTGCTAAGTTGTGAGGGAATGGGATATTTTGCTATATTTTTCCTTTATTTCTCACTGCTATAAGAATATCAAATGAATGCATATAATATATGTGTTTCTAAAAATTCAATAATTATCAAAACAGATTGAAGTAATATATTCTGTTCTTCCTGATTAGGTATCTCAACACTGAAAAATATATAATCACTTTTGTCTATTTTGCTTGATGACTAAAATTGGAAATAGTTGAAGCTTTTCAAGCACGACTGATTTTACATTTTTTGAATACGAGTTGTGTTATTTTAGTGCAGTGTTAAACTGTGTGTTTTAGGGTTAAACAGTTTTTTTTTTAAATTATCATTTGAAAATAAGGAATTAATATAAATATAAAAAAGTAATTTGATTTGGTTTGAGGGAAATTACTGTAATCATCATCGAAATTATGATCAGGTTTGACTCTAGAGTATGAATGATTTACACATACCTGAATTTTGAGCTTTTATTGTTACTACCAGGTCATAATTTTTAAGTATTTTATAATTTGTTTATACCTTTAAATTTAGAATTCATATGCATAAAAATGTTATATATTTCTGACATTCAGCATTTTTGACTTCCATTTCATTCTTTTCCTGAAATAACTTTGGCTCAGAAAAAATATTAATTCATTAAGTGATTGATATTTAATGACTTCATTTCAGAAACATTTTAGTTCATGAACTTTTGCTGACGCTTAATATTTGTTCAGCTTTTCTGCTTAAGAAATGTTATTTATTGATCTAAAACTTATTGATTTTTGCTTTTGTAAATTTTAAACATATGTTTTATTAAATCTAGCTTTTTATAGGCTAAAAGGACTTGGGAAGAAATTTCTAATGATCTGTTTTTAACTAACAAAATTTTTAATTATTGGATAATTTATTATAAATAATCAAAACTCTATGCAAGTAAATTAATAATGAAAAATACTGATAAATGATTTACCAGCTCCAGAGTACATTCAATGCAATGGCCATATGATATAACATCCTTTTTTTTTTTTTTTTTTTTTTTGGAGTATCTAAAAGGCTGATGTAATGCAAGTCAGTTGTATTATATCAGATAGTAATAATATAATATATATATAAATTTCTAAGAAATATATAAATCTGTAATGATATCATTTTTAATAATGATATAGGTGTGTGATGCTGAAAGCCATTTCGTGATGGAACTAATACTGTGATGGAACTGTGGTATCAGATTGAACACTTTTTGTTCTTGATAAAACATTTTTGATAGAAACACCGCTAAACTGGAACAAATAGCACGCTTCTCCTTGAATAGTAACTTAGTACTTTTACTATTTTGGGTATGAAGAAAGAAGTAGCAGCAATAGACAGCACATTTCCAATGTAAAGAAGTGAGAGTAGAAATGGGACATGGCCTAAATGAAAATCTAGTTCAGAAATGATTTAGTTTTTGTCAGGCTTTATACCTATTTTTGCTAAAAGTTTTGGCTGTGAAAATTTCAAATTATTTTTGGCTGAAGTGTTATGTAAAGATCTGCACCATTACTGCTATGCAAGAATTGTGAGGAGGACTAATTTTGAAATAGTGCAGGTCAGAGAGATTTATTATAAGCCATTACTATTTTTAGGATGGAAAGGAGAAACAGACAAATTCAAACAGACAGTTAAGGAACTATAGCAAGTTAAAGCTAAAATGTAGTACAGTACAAAGTCCATAACCAGGACTCGTCGGGACTTCGCCAATTCCGAATTATAGATCATCAATTTAAATCTAGTAAGATGACATGCAGAAATTATACAATTAAAAATATGAAACCGTAGTTTATGAAATAAAGAGCAATTATGATCTAAAGGGTATCAAAATTTACAAAAAAAAAAAAAAAAAAAAAAAAAAAAAAAAAGCTTAATATTTATTTGTTTACTTTAGTAAACATTTCTATCAATGTAAGTTGTTTAAGTTGCTTCGTTTTTTGTGCTAATACTTTCTCTTTAATTCTATAAACAGACGTAATTTCTTGTTCAGTTACGAAGTTCCATTGTTTAAGTCCTGTAATTGCTGTGTCGAGAATACCGACTAACTTGTCAATCGAAATTTTTTCATTTTCAATGACATTCTCTGTTACTTCTTCACAGTCAGAAACGCGCATAGGTAAACGCTTTACTGGCTTTACGCGCATGCGTAAGTTTGTGGCTTTGAGGTCCGGATTATAGATTATTCCAGATTACGGACTTTGTACTGTATTACCTATTTTTTTAGCTTACACATATATATAAATTTTGGTTTTATATTGTGCAGATAAGCCCTGTATAGTGTAAATCTCAAAGCTGAATGAAATGTCCTATGCCATGCATAAAAACAGCATGCTTGAGAAACTGATAATTTACCTAGCTAATGCTCGTATGAAGATTATGCTTCATAGAATAGCAATATTTACTAGAGTGCATGAGTGATAAATTCCACAGTAGCCCTTGGTATTTTGGTATGAAGTGTTATTGGATCTTGGTTCCATTGGGAAAATAACACTATTACTATTCACTATTAATACAATGAACACAATTACTGAGGTTTTGAAGTTTCTTGTTCTTTATCTTCGTGGCGTGGCTCACTTGGGATTAGTTACCAACAGGATAACCTATTTCCCTTTCATAATTTAAGCTCTTTTTAATATGAATCCTGTAGAGAAATTAATGCCAATCAAAAGATTACCTTTTCATTATCTACCATCCTTTTAACACTGTGCATGAAAATATTTATAAAATATTTACATCTCCCTTAATAATATTAAATTCATTTAATATAAAATTATAATTAATAATCTTTGAAAGAATATTTCATTTGAAAATTTGGCATTTGCTGAGCAATATGGGCTTATAAAAATGCAAGAAAAATGTTTCTTTCAAAGCAGTAAATAATTTCTAATTTATTTCTAGAATACTAATCTCTGATGGATTACTTTAAATCTCATAATAAAAATTAATGATGCAGAAAGACTAAAAGATGTATAAAATAGCAGTTAGTAGGGCATTAGCTCTTTATTCTTCAAAGATAGTAATCAGAAGATAGAAGTAATATAAAAGTTTTTTACGTAATTAATACTATTGTTGTCTGCAGTTCAGACTTTTAAATTAATGGTTTTCAGATTTAAAAGAAAAATTTAAATATATATATGACTATCTGTTATGCATGTATTGAACATAATTAATAAACTGACAATATGAAGTAACATAATTAGTATAAAATTATTTTCCAATCTAATGTTTTAATATTTTGTTTATTATTTTGTTTAGGGTGTCTCAGCATTCAGATCACAATAATATGCCTCCTAGTAATTTAGGCATTGTTTTTGGTCCAACATTATTACGAACTAGGTAATGTATTTAATATAATTCTTTAAAATTATTATCTGTATTATTATTACTTAGTAGAATACTTGAAATTCACTTATATATATATATATATATATATATATATTATTGGACACATTTTTAATTATTAGTGCTGCATAAGTTTCTTATATCAATAACATTTATGAAAAATATTTGTAAAAAAGTTAAATTTTATTTAATATCTAATGTGCTTAATATCCTAACAAATATTATGAATAATTAAGGAATTAAATGTAATGTTAATCTGTATATTCAGTGAAATAAGCTTAATCTAGATGGAAGTAGTGTTATACGCTTGTGCAAATTTGTGTTAATTTAAGTAATGTAATTTTATGTTCATTCCGATTTCAATAGTTATTGCCTCATTTTTCTTATGCATATTAAGATATAGCATATGTTAATAAATATTCAGCAGTGTATTTATTATTTAGTTAAAAATTTAGTGTAAGAAATGTTAAATACCAAAAATTCGTTAAAGAAATTTAAAGTAGTAGATGAGTTTGAAGTTTATGAAGAATTCTGAATGAAATGTCTTATTTAATTAACTATTAAAAGTTGCATAGCTGTATTTTCTTTTTCTTCTATTCTAGTGAAGGCAGTGCTTCTCTTAGCTCTTTAGTTGATACTGTTCATCAAACCAGAGTGATAGAGCTCTTAATTTTACATGCTGATGAAATATTTGGTGCCTCTGCTAAATCTCCAGCTAGTCAAAAAGATGATTCCTGCTTACATAAGTTGAAATCTAAGTCATTAAAATCCAGAGGTAAAATTTTATTTAGCTTTTGTAATATCAGTGTCTTATTAGTTTGATTTAATTCTCTTGATTTTTTATAGAGAAATGTATAAGATATCCCTATCTAATTTTAAAAGCAAAATTTTGCGATAAATAAAGATCATTCATATAGCTTGTATACTTTACTTCGCATTGCAAATTGTAAAAATGCTGATGATCTATAAATTTTAGTACCTACCTAGAAAATTCAAATTCCAGAATGTAATGGAAGAGCCATTTTCCATTCTCTCTGTGTATATGTTTAGATGTATACTATAGTACCATTAATTCCATGCGTGTGTGTGTTTGTGTACACTATACTTAACTGTTTCAAAGTAGTAGAGGTTTAAATAAAGGTATGACATAAGTCCACTGTTCATTAAAATCATAATTTATACCCTTCAAAGAAACTTTCCACTTAATTTTGAAAAAGGTTTGCATGTATTTTCTTCAGTCTCTCCAACATGACAAATAAATATGTAGCAGTTTTTTTTTTTTTGGGGGGGGGGGGGGGGGGGGAAACTTGGTCTGGCTCTTAACCATCATTCTTAACCCAACCCGCTCAATTTAGTGCTTTGTGATGGCCAGTCAAGTTTATTCCTCAAACCTTTAAGTTATGGCCTTTTGCTGTATGTGCAAATGAATTGCCACTTGGAAATAATAACAAGATCCATACTGTTGCTACAGGATGGTTAGCACAAAATTGTCCAGTATTCCTTTATAGTGTTCAGCATTCAATATTCAGGGCACAAAAACTAAGACCAAATCCAAGGAAACAGGCCCATATCATAACTCCTCTTCTGTCAGATTTCACAATAGAAGCAATGTACTTTCATCAGTTATGCTCACTTTATATTTGCTAGGTCCATATATGTCCATTGGATTGCTACAACACATAACATGACTTGTCATTCCACTTAATGCTCATTACTTTAGGTTGTGATGTGTTTTACACCACTGTGATCAATAGCAAGCATTCAGTATAATGATCAATGACTGATGTGCTGCAACTCATCCACGGAATCCAAAAGTGCAGTAACTTCTTGATGAATGGTATGATTACTGACATCATTTCCAGATGCCATTCAAAATACTGTGGACAGGGCAGTTTGCCCAGAAGGGCTATTAGTTTTATTTTGCCATTTTGTGTCATCTACTATAAAATGCCGTTTCACTTTTCAAATTGTTACCACCAAATATTAGAGCCCTGCATTATATTTAAAGAAATAAAAAATGAAGAATCTGTATGAATGTATGTATATTTATCGCATTGTGAAAAAACAGTGCTACTCAGATACATCAAATTTTGAATAATGTAGTTGTCCACTTGAATATGAGCATCTGGAAGTCCAAGTTTTATTATCTGTTTCATATTTTGTATAACTTTAACAATTTTTTTATTAACAAACTCAACGATTTTAAAGCTAGCAATGACAACACTGTATGAATAAAAAACATTTTGATCTCCGTGCGAGACTGTATCGGAAATTTTAAAGATATCCTCTTTTTAAATATTTTGTGATATTGCTGTTGAATTGAATTTTATTGTTTAAATGGGAAGAATATGATATTTAATAAATAAAGTTTTTAAAAAATCCCTTTGGGCATAATATAAAACCTGAAAGCTTTAAAAAAATCCTCCTCCCCCCCCCCTTTTGTGATTAGGGTTGAGATTTTATAAACTTCCTCACATTCCAATTTCACCACTGTGTCGCATGATACATCTTAAATGGAATTTGCCAAAAATCTCGTGTATGGAATCATGAGATCAGTGGGCACTAGTAATCATGCTTTTTTTACTTCACTCTGATTTTGTTGCACATCCAAGCTTTAGCTACTATATATTTTTCCCAAGTGTCTATAGTCTTTTTACTGGTTCATGACATGTATTAGTGACATAAAGGCGATCCTAGTTTTCTTTCAGGTGATGTCAACATATTAGTTTGAAATAAAACAAAAATGATTGATATTTTCCTAAACAATGTATTTAAAATTTTTTAATTTATATAGAATTTTGTAAATTATTCAATTTTTTATTAATTTCAATTGATCTCTTTTGTTGGAATGTAAAGTTTCTGTAAACAGACAAATATTACATTTTATTACTATTTATTTATTTTAAAGGTGGTAAGCAAGCACTCAGTCGGACAGTTTCTGCTTCCAGTCAAGCTAGTGACATAGAGGAACATCATTCAGAAGTAGATCATCGTCGAGATGGTCTAGTAGACATTGATGATTATCCTATTCCTGGTTATTTACCTACTGATAAAAACCAAGAAATTGAATCTTCTCATCAGAGTTCTGATGTTACACATTCTTCTGGCAAGTACTTTAAATATTGGCTCATTTAATTTCAGACGTGAAAATGCTCAAACTGCCTTTTTAAGTAGGCAAAGTGTTTACAAATAAGAATATTTTATTAAATTTTGTTAGCATTTAATATCGTCTAATGATGGGATTTTGTGTATGGAAACTTTTGCAGCTATGTCTCTAATAGTTATCTTTAATAACATGTTTTATTGTATAATATTGATTGTTCATAAATTGTATTATTATATGTTTCAGTATATTTAGAATAAACTATTTGAGGTAATGTGAGTTCTTTTGTAATAATTTTTTTTAGTATATGAATTAATATAATTAGTGTAATGCAATATGATATCTGTGCATCATATTTAAAAAATTCTGCTTTATTCATTGGATCATGCTGAACTGTAAGTAATATATCAATGAATTAATAGAATGCATTAATTAATGAATATTCATTGTGCATATTAATTTATTCATGATCTTTCAATATGATCATGAAGCAGTTATTGTGGAACATGTTTAATCTTCCTGATGTAAAACTATAAATGAAATCAGGGCCGATCATATGGTGAAATGATTATCAAACATATTGTATTTTTGTGGTGGCCAATTTTAATTTGCACATGAGCGGTCAGTGGTCTAGGATTAGTACTGAATGAAATGATCAGTTTTAGTATGCATTTTAGATTTCAAAAGGTAGTTTATAGCATTAATTTATCCATTTTATTTATTTATTTTTCCATGTTTATAATTTATTTTCATTCTCATGTATTCATTCATATTTATTCGTTTCTTATATAGATGATCTTTTATATTCAAATATTATATCTGACGATGATTTTCCTGAAATACTGCTATCTGATGACTCAGTCTTCAAGAAGTCAGCTACTTTACCAACAGTCATTAATCAGTATTCGGAAGTAAAATCTAATGATGAACTGTCCAGATCAGGACAATCTGCATTGCATATGAAAGTGCAAGAAACCAGAGCTTCATTATCGTCATCTCCAGCTGTGTCTGAAGCAAGTCACTGTAGCTCTGTTCTCAGGTCTACAGATGATGAATCAATATCCGATGCAGCATGGAAGGAAGTATTGCTACCTGTTGCTCCTCCCAGAAGAAATACTCCATCAAATTTACAACTGAATCAAAGTTTCTTACATGGTTCTTTAGAAAGGAAGCAAGGCACATCTTCTGTATCAGAATCTTCAGGTGTATCATCTGCTGCATCAACAAGTCCCACTGGGGCTGCTGAAGCTAACCAAGGTGATGCAGGAAATCTTTATACTTCAACTGCTGTTGTAACATTAGCAGGACAGAAGAGCCCCTCACAGAATTCTCGAACATCTACTTCATCAATGACAGCAGAATTACGGAGACAGTTTTTTGAATTGCCTCCTCCACCTTCATCTGCAACTCCTCCTCTTTCATCCCGAAGTACTCAGTCTGATGTGAGGTATTCAGAATCTGAGGGAGGATCTGCTGTATGCTGTCCTGACACATCACCCAGCTCAAAAACCTTTGAAGGAAGTTGCGGTGCAACTGATTGTAAAGCAGAATCTGAAACATGTTCACAGTGTCAAGGTACACAATATAAACAGATCTTTAAATATTGAATTGGTATTGCGTATTTTGCTAATAACTAATCATTCGTTTATGATTTTTATTAAGAGCACATAATTTTTCTTTTGTTGACATTTGTATGAATTGTAATTTGTCTGTAAATTCTTGGAACTCTCTAAAATTATTTAGCCCTGAAATATACACATAACGTCACTGCTTGCAGAAAAATGCTTATAGTCTTCCTGCATGAGAATCTCATAAATTTTGCTTCCCTCCCCCTTTTTTCATTATGTTTCATTAAAACAAATTGTAACTCTTTGCTTTTTCTCGTGATTATTAAATTCATGATTATTCTTTGACTCAGTGTATTTACTACATGAAAAAGTCTCCCTCCTTCCGCCAAATGCAAGTGTATTATTTGGAACATTTGGAAGCAAAATTATCAAAATTAGATCTGAAGATTGTATATTTTTTTATATTTGAACAAGATTTTGTATTTCATATAATGGAAGTCTCCTGATTGTGATCAAAGGGAATTCCTGAATATTCAGCAGTAGGATTATATGTGTAATATAATGTAACAAAGATATAGGCAATGACGTGTTAAATGTGTATGTAATGTACATGTAAAAGCTTATTGTAATATCACTAAAAATACTGCATATTAGATTCATGCATATGAAACAAAATTTAAATTAATGCATTTATTAGAAGTGAAGTAATTAATTTTTATCTTAGAATTTTCAAAATACATAATCAGATATTTTTTATTGCAAAAATTATTAATGAAATTTTCATTCAGTATTTCCAAAAAATTGACTTTATAGTTTTTTTGAAAGTGTTCTCTGCATACAGCTTTTTATATAATTTATTTCCCAAAATATTAGGTGAATTTAATTCTTTTTAAAATTACCTTTTGAAAACTAATCCCATCTTATTTGTATAGCATAACATTAAATATGTTAAGGTAATTTATTTCTTATTCCAAAACTTTAATTTCAGAAGAAAGCATATTTTAATTTTACCTCAAAATGTGATGTCATTCAATTTTTCATAGAATCTTTCAGTCTACCAAACTTAAAATATCATATAGCTTCAGTATATTCTGGCAATACAGCATGTTATATGTGTGTGAAACAATAATTTAAAATAATTATATATATATTATAAAATAATATAAATAAAATAATAATATTATAAATAATGCATGTAAAAATCCATTCATAATTCAAATGTTATGTTTGATATGCACTGAATGCTATAACATTAAGTATTTCCTAGCCATTGCTTTGAAATATTATTTTTATTATAGTACTTGTGCATGAAACTTTTTTAAATGGCTTTTATAAAGTATAAGTTTCTTAGCATGTTAAGTCTGCTTGAATGGCATTGTGCTTTTGAATGCATGTTATGAAGCTAACAAGTTCCATTTTGCCTGCAGGAACCTCTTGCAGACCTAGAGGATCTAGTCTTTCTCATGCATCTGCTGACTCTATTCCTTATAATGCAATTTACGGAAAAGAAGATAAATCAAGGTTAGCTTTCTTAAGAATTTTTTTAATATTTAGTGTATTGTTATTCAAATTAAGATGAAATATATATAAATTTCTATATTTACAACTATGTATAAGTGTTTCTGATCAATTTTTATAGATTTATTTTGGAAATAATTATAGAATTTTTGCCTAAAAGTCGGGTGGATTTATGAGGTGGGGGCCTTCATCTTAAAATATGGAGTATGTTTGCTACTACTACTGCTTTCATTATTGGGAGACCCTGATGCAGTTTTGTCTCTGATAACTTTTTATTTTTAATGAAATAGAAAATGTATGCTATAGTCAGTGATGAACTAAGAAAATTTATTACAGTCAAAAGTCTTTAATCCGGACTCGTCGGGACTTCGGCGATTCCGGATTATCGATTTTTCCGGATTATAGATCATCAGTTTAAACCTGGTAAGATGGCATGCAGAAATTATAAAATTAAAAATATGAAACCGTAATTTATAAAATAATGAGCAGTTATGATCTAAAGGGTATCAAAATTTACAAAAAAAGAATCTTAATATTTATTTGTTTACTTTATTAAACATTTCTTTCAACGCGCGCATGCGTAAAGCATACATTACGCATAGCCGAAATTAGAAAATTGAAACCAGAAAACTATTTGATTTGTATTCATGATATTTATAATGATGAGGAATTTGATTTAAATCATATCAAAGACGGAGTACATCGAGATCAAATACTACATTTAGTAAGGAATTATAAGCCGAATAAAATAAAAACATCTGCCCTGAAGATAACGATAGTGCTGACAGATCAACTTCCAGTTCATTGCGCGCCACGGCGTCTCCCCCCCCCCCCCCCCCCGCGCAGAGCAGCGTGAAATTGATAAACAGATTTCGGAACGGTTAAATAAACAAAGGATATGCCTTTATCAATTTTTTGTAGCAATTCCACTTTTTGTTTGATGGACATCGAAACATACTTTCGTTTTCTAGATCCTTTGGGAGCTCCAGCATCGGAAATTCTATTTGACATAATCGAAAGTTCAAGCTTACTTTTATAAAATTGCTCTTACAGTCTGCAAAAAATAATAAGCCAGATCCAATTCGAAGATTAAGGAACAACGCAATCATCAACATTAACTGAAACAGATCATTTTAGCTTATACCATCCGTTATACATTAAACGCGCACGCGAAAACATACTCTGCGCTTGCGCAGTCGTAAAGGTCTTGCGCACACGCGTAAATGCCTATGCGCATGCGTAGATAGATTTTAGCTTTGAGGTCCGGATTATGGGTGTCCGAATTAACGACTTTTGACTGTATATAGTAATTACTTTCTTATTAACATCTTTTTTAAGATGTTAATAAGAAAGTTAAATAAGAAAAACTAAACAATGGTGGATTGTTTAGTATATAATTATTAATTAAACATTACTAAAGAATGGTTGATTGTTTAGTTTTGTATAAAGTAAAGAAAGTATTGTAATTTTATTTTTTTTAATTTTTTTTAATTGTAAAAAATTTTGGATATCAAATTTCAATGGAAATATCAATTTTGATCATTCCCGAATCTATTTGCATGACAGAATAAAGCATGTACATGCAGACAGAATAAAAGACTCCTTTTTTCCTAAAATTAAATGTAAAAGGGATTCAAAAAGAGATTTTTTTTGTGTGCCGTCTGTATGTATCTCTCATAATTAAAAAAGATTAGCTGTTGAACACTGAAATCTGTATAGGCGACTGTTATAACATCTAGTGTGTGTGTAATATGGTGACTTTCAGTAAGCTGCAATAGATTGACGATGGTTCTCTGCTTTATAACTTGGAGAGACTTTACTGTGTAGTTAGAAAAATGACACTTGAAGAAGAGACTTGTAGACAGACTTTATCAAATTGTGTATAATTTTTATTGCTGGACATGAACTAATTATCAACAGGGCTTAATTTCTAAAATTAGAAGAGCCTGAGCCCTATGCAAGACTGCCAAGAAAGAGGAACAAGAGTAAATAAATAAATAAAATGGCCATTAAAATCAATAATAATTTAAAAAATTAAATAGTTAATATTACCAGATTAAATAATAATTATTAATTAAATATTAATTATCAGTATTATTAATGTTAGTTAATTAATGATTGGTATTTAATTCGTTAATAATTAATTTAATTAATTAATATTCTTTAAAATAATAAAATGATTGAAATTACATAAAATGTACAGAGGTAAATTAAAACTTAATAAGCAATTTTTTATATAATTTTATTGCTAAAAATAAAATTTTCGAGATCAGATTTCTAGTGAAATTGTTGTTCAATTATTTAGAAGAAGTGCCAAAGCCTTCTTATGTAGGGCTCTGGTGTGCTTCTTCTAGAATTATGATTTATCCCAAAAACTAAGAAGTACCAGAGCTAGGCTACGGCACAATTTAAGCTCTTATTATCAAAGATATATTTTTGTCACACATGATTATGGTCAGAATATGTACCCCATAATTTTATGCTGAGTATCACATTTTAGATAATTTTAGATAATGGCCTACTAGCACCACGACAAAGCAAAGGGTGTGAAGTAGCATCTTGACTGTAGGAGAGCTGAAGCTTAAGTGTGCAGTCAATCCAATATGGAGGCTCACCAAGAGGAGGTTTGGGTTTAGGTTTCAGTTCTGAAAATTTTTATTTCAGGTTCTGAATCAGCTACATCTTCAGCATTATGCAAGCCATGCAGGATAGATTGATCGATCTAGAAATGATGCGTCCAGAAAAGTTATTACAATTTTTAGAATAGAGAGAGGGAATTAAGGAGTTACTGCTAGTTTAAATTATAATTTTGATTTACATATTTTACATCTTACATGTCATGATTTCAGGAACATAGAAGAGGAATTAGCTTGCAGTCGTCATAGCTGAGCGTGAAGGCTTACAAATGAAGATAACAAAACATGAACTTGAAGAATTTCCAGTTTTTATTTTCACACATATAAAATCATCTCCACGGATGTTTATCCAATCATAATGAAATCCGATACATTTCTGTGGTTCAATCATAATGAAATATATTAAACTGCTATTTACATTGATTCTTAAAATTAAGACGCAGGCATTTTAGACGGGGAAGCAAAGCTAGGAGATATCAGCAAGGTGGAAGCTAGCGGAAGAAGGGAAGTAATTAACTGCTAGGGCTTTTTATACCAGAGTAGGTGCGATTATAGTGATAAATTATGAGTAGTTAGTTATTGGTTTTGGTTACCCTTTTCAAGCAGCATTACATAACGTTGAAAGATCTCAAATTTGGGAGAACAGATGAATTTAGAGGGAGATCAGCAAATCTAGAATGTTAATTTTGAGGTCGCCAATTATTTTTTAAAGCAGCTATCTTACTTTTTATTTCTTACATATTCCCCTCCCCTTCATTTTTTGAGCAAAATAATTATTTACGTAATTTCAAAATATAAACATTGATAATATTTTAAAGTCCTATTAAGTTTTTTTCAGTCCAAAAGTCTTTGTGTTTTAGAGTTCACATAATTAGATTTTTTTCAGGGCAGGCTTTGCAAAGCTTTGAACACAATATCATAGTTGAAAAAATTTTGCACACACATTACTTATTTTGAATAATCACAACAAACTTCTAAATTTTCAAAACCAATTCTTGAACACAACCATTATAACATCACAAATTTTATAGTAGTTTTACTAAAATTATGGTTTTTAATGTTGTTGTTACATTTGTTTTCGAATAATAAAAGATATTTGTCAACTGGAATACCATTATTAGAACCATCAAAGATGGCACTAAAATTTATCCACATTTACCATTCCAATTTCATTTTTTTTTGTTCATTTGACATCTTGGTTTGCGATCTCATTTTCATACCATTAAATTATAATGTTTCTGAAGAATTCACATTAAATAACTGAATTTATTTTCACCCATCACTTTGCACAGCACACAACACTTGGTATGGGCACACACATCACTAGATAAAGATTTGACAGCACACTTGCAGCAGACTATGTCCTTGTTGCTACTTCATGTCTTTCCTCATATGCTAAACTCTCTTGCTTCGCTAATCCTTTTCGGTCACCCTGCTCCCCCAACCATTCTTTTGAAGGGGAAATATGTAAGATATAACAAAATACGATAGCTGCTTTAAAAAATAATTGGCGGCTTCAAAATAAACATTCTAGATTTGGTGATCTCCCCCTAAATTCATCTGTTCTCCCCAATTCGAGATCTTTCGACATTACGTAACGCTGCTTGAAAAGAGTAACCAAAACTAATAACTTACCAATCGTAGCTTATCTCCAGAATCGCACCTACTCTTGTATAAAGACCCCTGACAGTTAATTAAGTCACTTCTTCTGTCTTCCCTTCTCCCTTCTGCTTCTGGACACTTGTGTCGCCTTTCCGTAGTTTTTATTTTCCTAATTTTCGTTCTTTAAGAAGATGTAATCTGTACAGAGTTGGAGGGTGCACAGGGCACCCATAGTGATAATGTCCATTATCCAAGAAATAAAATTATGTGTGGAATTTAGGCCATGTCTGAAAGTTTTTCTGGTTTATGCATCCATCGTTCTAACTAAACAGCAAAGTCTTCAAGTTATGGTGCAGTCCCCTCCAACATCATTCCGTTGCAACTCTCACCAAGTCATCTTATTTCAATAATATCTGTACACACTGGTTATCAGTAATTAAGGAAAAATCACCAAAATGATGATTACTGAAAAAGGTTACTTGCAGAATTTAATGAAAGTGACCCACAGTATACAACACATAGCAAGGTATAAAATAAGATGAAAAGAAATTACCAGACAAATATGGTGTTATAGAAACTAGCACATGTATAAAATGAACAAATTGGATGTGTCAGCTTGGATATAGGAAAATTACCTTTGACATGGAGTATGATCTCTCCTACAAGCATTACAACACATAAAGCAATGTGTGATTCTGACAACTGTGCAGTCACTCAGTTCGATAAGAAGTGAGAGCCATTGTTCTTGCAAAGCACTTGTAAGTGTGACAATGGTCTGAAAGGAGGATTGAGAGTAGCTATACGTTTGTTAAAGCATCCCAAACATGCTCAGTAGGATTCAGGTCTAGTGGACGAACTGGCCACTCCATGCACTATGTTGTTGCCGAGTTGCTGCTGAAGATAATCATCCATGATGCAAGCCCTGTGTGGTCTAGTGCTGTTGTCCTGTAGCAGGAAACTGTCACCTATTGTCCCTGCATTAAGGGTGCACATAAGCATCAAGGATGTCATCTCCTAAGCCATCATCAACCTGAGCATTAATGGTTTCACACAGAAAGATATGGATGTCTGTGGCACCCACCTAAAGAGATACCATCCCAAACACAGGCACTGCTTCCTCTATGCATCTCTTTCATGGATATTTTATGGGTGATAACAGGTTCCATGTTCTTTCCAAATCAAATAACGCATACTATTGCTTTGGAGGCTAAATCTAGACTCATCCGTAAAGGGAACAACCCTCCAGTGCTGAGATACCCAGTAGACATGTTGATGTGACATGAGTATCTCGTTGCCTTATGTACAGACCTCCTCCATGAAGCCTTCTACACATAGTTGATGTTGGCACCAACCTTCTAGTGGTGGCTGCAGCAAGGGAGGATCTGAGTAGAGTTGAGCTTCTATTCCATCATGTGCATAACAAATGTTGGTCATTGTAGTGGTTGAAATTCCTTGATTTAACCTCCTGGATGCCGAATTTGTGGTTAGAAATTGTTGCTCAAATCTATGAGCCGCAGAAGAACTTGCGTTTAGCCGTCTCTGCCTCTTCCAATAGCCCCCATTGCAGTTCTTCAGGTAAATGATGCTTAGAATTCATTGTTACAAATTGGCTATCCTAGATTTCTTATCTTATTATGATAGCGAAATTTGCTGCCTTACCCTGAAACACACAATCTTATGCTCCTTGTAGATGACGTATTTTGATTGTAGTGCCACTAATTTGCATACTTTAGTTTTATGAACTAAATGTGTGATCAGTTCTTATTTAGCAACATATTCAAATTTTATACAGATTGGCTTATTTTTGACTGAGCTATTATTTTTGTAATTTTTCCTTAATTTTTGCGCGAGTGTATCTGCATCGACTCCTTACCCTGTTTAGAAGCCCTCACCTGGCCTTTATTTTTGCACTGGTCACAGTCCATATACTTCTGATTGCATAAGTGTTTTAAATGACAAAAAATTTCATGTTTTGGCAATGTAAATTTTTAAAAAAAAATTAATTTTGAACAAATAATGAAATCTAACTTTTAAATGTAGTCTCCCAGTTCCTATACCTATAGTTCCTCCCAGTAAAAATGGGAAAGTTTTATACTTGTTTTGAAAAAAAATAAAATTGTAAGAAGTTTGACACCCATATGACATAAATTGACTGGGATATTCAAAATTTGTATCTTTTGATGTCAATGTTAACATGCCTTGAGGTATTGGTTAATTAAGTTAGAATAATTTGAGGAAATAAGTTTAAATGAAGTGCAGCAAAAAATATGTATTTTTTATTAGGCTGTACAAGAAAGTCAAATGGTGTCCACATTAAATGCTTTTAATTAATCGAGATCACATATTTGATTTTTAATTTTTTTACCTTGTCCCATTTTCAAGAATAGATTTTTATGTATGTAAAACATCTTGTTATATTAATTTTTTATGATGCTCGTGACTTCTCATTTTATTATTGTGCAAAATTATTTATTAAATGCCTGCTTCTCAATATCAATAGATATGCACTGATAATCAAAATTAATGGATAATGAGAAAATAATATGCTCATTAAGTTAATATTGCAACCATTGCCCAGTGTTCTAATTATTTATGCTAATTAGATACAATTGAACACAAAATTGCACTTCCACACATATGTTAGTGCTGGAAATATGCAAATTTGGTGATTGACAATGCGGTTCGCTATGGATGCATGTTGGAATTCTAGTCTGTATTGTTTTTTAAAGTGAATATGGTTTCTGAGAGTGATCAGTATTTAGTAGTTATGGTTCAAAGGCATCATTTAAGTAAAGAATCAAAAGTGATGAATAATTGGTAGAATTGAAAGCAGTCAAACACAAATGGAGGTAATCCAAGATTTGAATATCCCTCAAAGTGTGACATCAAGAGTTTGGAGCTGCTTTTTAAGCACTGGATCAGTTGATGGACAGCCTGGTCAAGGACAACCAAGAGCAAAACCTGCATCAGAAGACCATTTTCTGTCATTGTTGGCTCAAAGAAACTGCAAAACGACTACAAGAGATTTGGTTTTAGACCTTCAGACTGCCACAGAAACTCAAATTATTCGTTCTGCTGCACGAAGGCTTAACGAGGTTGGACTGTATGCGAGAAAAACCAATGGTTTGTATTCCACTCACACCAACTTCCAGACGGATTCATTTAAACTGGTGTTCATGTTCAGTGGAGCCAAGATAATTGGATCCGATTATTGTTTACTGATGAACTTAGACAGTCTGAAACAGTGAATCTAGATGTGTTTTGGTCTTGAGTGAAGAAGGAACATGCAGCTTGCCTTCCCTTGTCTATGAAATATCCCATTTTGGCAACTGCGGTTTAATGATTTAGGAAGGAATCTGACAAACGGCCGCACCAAGCTGTATATCTTTCAAGGAGGTTCTGTAACCACTTAGAGATATGTGAACAAGGTACTGGAACCCAGGTTAGACTTTTTAGGGGTGCTGTTAGTCTACAGTTTTTGCTAAAGGATAACAATGCTCAGCATCCTCAAGCATATACTTGCAGTACTCAGAATACTGAGAAACAGAAACTATCATTCGAATGGATTGGCCACCTTATTCACCCAACTTGAACCCACTTATGCATTAGGGTGCCAAATTTCAATGCATCATAATCCTTTCTGGACCATCCAGTAGCTGAAAAGTGCTTTTATATATATATATATATATATAAGTGGCTTACAGTTTCACAAAACTTGATCAACACTTTGCTACAATCTATGAAATCAAAGTATGAGGGATGCAAATCTGTCCGAGGTGACCAAATACCATATTTAAGAAAAATATTTCCACAAGAGGGGACTAAAGTTTTCTGTCATTTTTCAATTTCCATAAATTTAGTTTTAATTTCAATATTTTGCAAATAATCAACTTCCAAATACTGTAATTTATGTTAACTAATACTTTTATACAAACTTCTGTCAATAATTTTTCATTAAGTATCAGTTACATTTTATTTCTGTCATTATCCTTTAATTTTGATTTTTATGACCAGTGTATATTTCCTTACTTTGTTTATACAGTCAAAAAGCGTAATTTCGGACACCCATAATTCCGGATGATCTATATTTGGGACCTCAAAGCTGAAAACTTTCTGCGCATGCGCCGCTTGCCATGCGACAGGCATTTACGCTGTGCATAAGACTTGACTACTGCGATATTTGGTGTGCAAGTGCAGAATACATTTTCACCTGCGCGTTAATGATAAGGACGGTGTAAGCTAAAATTATCTAATTATCTATTTCAGTTAATGTTAATGCTTGCCATTGTTCCTTAATCTTCGAATTGGATCCCGCTTATTATTTTTTTGCAGACTGTAAGAGCAATTTATAAAAGTAAACTTGAACTTTCGATTATGTCAATAGAATTTCCGATGCTGGAACTTCCAAAGGATCTACAAACGAAATTATTTTTCGATGTCCATAAACAAAAAGTGGAATTGCTGCAAAAAATGGATAAAGATATGAAGATGTGACAGAAGAGGTTAGTGAAAACGAAAATTTCGATGACAAGTTTAGTCGGTATTCTCGGCACAGCATTAACGGGACTTGAACAGCGCAACTTGTAACTGACAGAAATTATGTCTGTTTATAGAATTAAAGAGAAAGTATTATCACATTAAACGAAGCAACTTAAACAACTTATTGAAAGAATGTTTAATAAAGTAACAAATAAATTAAGAAGCCTTTTCTTTTTTGTAAATTTTGATACCTTAGATCATATTGTTCTTTATTTCATAAATTACGGTTTCATATTTTTAATTTTAGAATTTCTGCATGCCATCTTACGAGATTTAAACTGATGATCTATAATCCGGAAAAATCGATAATCCGGAATCGCCGACCGGATTAACGACTTTTGACTGTAATATAAATTGTTATGTAAATATCAGGAGATGCATAATTCTGTAGTCTTTTTCTTAACCTGTTGCTTATTATGTCGTGTATTTCTATCAGAAATTTAAGAAGTAACTCTTTAACTTGTTTTTTTAGTACAAATTTGGAAGCAGTATATGCCATGAAAGTAGATGCTACTAACAGTCTGATACTGAATGAATGTTCTGGAAGGTCAACTGAAAACAACAAATATGTTGATTGCCAAGCTTTCACGTCTAGAACAGAAAGGTTTGAAAGATTGGATCAAGAAAGCAGAAAAAGGACAGAAGTCATTTCAGTGAAACATGTAATGCAAAACATTGATATGCCTCCCAGAGGTGCAGTTATTGCTGACTTAGACTGTGTGAGTTCATCATCAGTCATTTCAAGTAAAAGGCATATTGAGACGACCACCATGTCTGGTGGAACTTATGCATCTGAAAGTCAGACTGTGGATCGAACTGTACGAGGAAGTGAGAAGCTTTCTCCCAATCGTCAGCCTCGCTTTGTTTAGCAGAAGTCGGTATTTGTTGTTTTGTGAAGTCTATTGCACAAGCTGCCTAAAAACTGTAGTAGGTTCTTAAACTCTGTGTTGTAAATATTTGTATGCTTGCATATCTGCAGATTGTGCTGTAGAAAATTTGTTGTGTGTATGTGCCAGAGTTGCATTTTGTGAATACCTCATATGTACAGCATAAAAAGAATCATACCAAATACATGTTAACATATTTTTTAGCAAGCTGTGCCTGAAAAGCAATTTTAAATAATTTTAGGTTGCATTTTTGTTATGAAATGTGCATTTTTATTGTATAGATGTCTAAAGGTATAGAAATCAATGCATCGAATTCACTGCAAATAAACTTAGTCTTGTTTTTTTTTTTTTAAGAATATAATTCAGGGGGAGGGGGATTTTATCTGCATGCATTAAATTCTGTATCGTGTGAAAAGAATATGCGTAGTATAATTTATAAATATTGAATTAGTTTTAAAGTATCAATTGTAAGCACTGGTAGTTAATTTTCTTTTTTTTTTTTCCCCCAAAGATAATTCATTCTGTTAAAAAAAGGGAGAAGGAAGCTAGAGCTTGTTATCCAATCAAAATATTAGAAAATCGAATTTTTAGTATCCTCAGTTTCGATTTTAAAGAAGTATTTTTAACTACTGAAGCAGGAAAATGATTGAAAATTTCTAATTATAAAGGTGTATGTAGAAAATATTTTAGATATACAATGTTGCTTTGTTTTTATGTAAATGATATATTAATTTGGCAGAATAAAAAACATATAAATCGTCTTAACTTGAATACAAGTAAATTGTTTTAAAAACATTAAGGAATATTTATGTCCATTTCTTGATTAGACTTTATGAAATATAAATTAAGTTCCTTGTGTCAACCCAAAATAGAAATTATGCTATGCCTTCTCTCTTTTTCTGAACATTAGAATAAATATGTCTTGCTTAACTTTTATTGATGAGTAATCCTGCATTCGAAAAAGAACCTTGCTTAGTATTAAGTTTGTAAGAATATTTATTTTAAGGTTATCTGCTTCCGTAACCGAAACTACAGAAATTGACTTAGATAAAGAAATGGAACAGAAAAAAAACTTTAAATTTTTAAATTGAAACAGAAATTTGCTTAAAGGATAGTGCTATGAAATATTCTGCAATCTGAATAAAAATAGTCATTGTTTTTAAAATGGTTCAGAGCTATTTTTGTGTGAAATTTTGATCTCCAGAGCCCATACTACAATTACTTCATATTTGTATAATTAAATTACTTCAAATTTATTTAAGCATTATAATTAATAGATAAAATAAGTGCTTTCTATTTAAATTAACAAGTAGTCAACATGAAATTCAGCTTCTAGAAATAACTTAAACTGATGTAGAAGTTGAAACTATAATGTTGAGTATGAGCAATAGACAGAAATACTATCTCTGAGATAGTGTGAGAAACATACTTTGAAAATGGCTATCTTGAATTTAGTTCAGAAATTTTATTTGAGAAAAAAAGACATGAAATGTTTGAAATTGAATGAGAGTTTTTTGTAAACACCTGGCGGTACACTATTTTTTATTTATTGATATCGTTATTCCTGTAAAGTTATAATAATTCGTGCAAGTAAAGTAAATGTTCACTTAAATGACTTTTATTTCTCCATTCTTGGTGATCCAGCATGCCACTAGGAACGTAATTGTTAGGAGTGGTGGAAGAAGCTGCATACAATTAATTTTGATGTCATCAACAGCTTTGGGTCTGACTATGATGGATATAAATCACATTCATATCTTTGTTTTTGTTTATAAATTTTATCATTCATGACTAAAAGAATTATGTCCATGAACAGAATCTTCATAGGAATATGGGATACCTGAGGGTTCTTGTTAAGCCCATGTTGCAGACTAGTTATTCAATAGATGGTTCTATAATTAAGGTTAAAATAATACACCAAATAATGATTATTTGAGAAGTCAAACAACAAGAATCAACATTATATTTGTAAATTTTGCAGTACTGGTTACGATGGTTTAACTAGAGAGCCATCTTCCTCAGCTGCCTAAATGCAAATGAACGAGATAAGTTGTGGCGATAATATAAGAATGGATGGACAGAAGTTAAGCTACTGGCGCCATCTATTGATGAAACAAGAAAACTAAAACAATAGTTCATGGTTTTCTTTTGATGTAAAATCATTTTTGACCTATGTTCCAGTGGAAGGTGCTATAAGATGTCTAGAAACCAGACTTTGTGAATTTCATTTCTCCTGCATCAAAATTGATCTTATTTCCTTTTTACTCAACTCTGTTTGAAACAAACATATTTTGTTTTCCAAAATAAGTATTACAAATTGAAGGGTTAGCCATGGGAAGCCCTCTTAGTCTCATCCTGGCTGATATCTACATGCATTATTATGAACCAAAATTATTTTGAACTTCCCGGCATGGTTCCACTATGTAGATGATACTTTTACCCTGTTTGACAGTAATAAAGATGATTTAAATAAAGTTCTTTCAACAATGAATTTCACTGAACCTGCTATTCAGTTCACTTTTGAACTTGGGGCATCCAGTTCTCTTCCGTTCCTCATTGGTTTGCCTTCCACCACACTTCAAATCATGTCATCAGACTAAACAGAAGTTAGCTTCATTTTATTCCATTCATTCATTTATTCAGTTCGTTTTTCACGCACTTCAAGTTTGCTCTTCCAAACTGGCTCTTGATCAAGAACTAAGTTATTTAAAAGCAGCTGCTACTGACAAAAGCTTTTCAGCCAACATTATTAACCAAGCAGTTAAAAATTTCTCTTCTCAACATACCAAAAGGCACACTCTTGTTTTAAGAGATTATAAGAATTCTGTTGTCATTATTTTCTTTCCATCAATTAGCTATAAAATTGCACGTATTTTACAGAAATTGTAACTTTTGAGTTGTTTATTCTCCTATCAATAAAATTCCCAGTTCCATACTTAAGGACCCCATTTCGGATATGAATTCCTGGGACACTTACAGGATTTTTTTGCTGATGTGGTTTAATTTACATTGATCAAACTAAGAGAGCCTTAAAATTTCACATTAAAGAACATGAGCTTATGTTAGAAAAAAGGAAATACAGAAGTCATCTGTTGGTCTGAAAATCACACTTTCCATTTTTCTGCAGCCAAAATTATTTTAAAAAAAATGTCTTCCATTTATGAATTAGATTTTCTAGAGGTGTTTCACACTAAAAAAAAAAAAAAAAAAAAATCTTTCTGTTCTAGTTAACGGCCCTAATTCCAATTCATCTTTACCTTCAGCCTTTAAGGAAATTATGTTTTAGGTTTCTTGTCCCATCAATAGATGGTGCCAGTAGCTTAACTTCTGTCCAGCCATTCTTATCTTGTCTTATCACCATGTAGTACCTTCAGCATTATTTTCACAAGGAAAGGCTGATGCCTGACTAGCAATCACAGTAATGGTAAATCACCATATCTTATCTTGGTCATTTGCATTTAGGCAGCTGAGGAAGATGGTTCTGTAGTTAAACCATCAAAACTAACCCTGCAAAATTTATAAATATAATGCTGACTCTTGTTGTTTGACTTAATCAATAATCAGATGGTTCCATGTTTGCATAAGTTTGGCCTTATATGCATGTTTATATGTAACAACCGTATATTCAACATTGGCTAGTGCAGTGGGAAGTCCCAGATCCGAGTTCGCAGGGACTTCGGACAGCTTGTTAGTATGTTGCAAAGAGGTTCTTCTGACACACATGAAAGAATATTTTGTAGATTTTTTCCCCTCATCTAAAAAATACTAGGGCTAAAAGAATAACTTTAACTTCTGTAACTTATGTAATAAATATCAACATCTGCAGTGATTTACGAAATAGAAAAGTGTTTCCAGACTTCTGATCACACACTTCTGATCACACAGTGTTTGGCTCCAGTTATCAGTACATGCGATTCCGGTTAACCCGTTTATTTTTACTCTCAAAAGCGTCGTCTGGTGTTCCTCGACAGAGATTGCCCGAAGGTGTATAGCTTTAACATCAGCTTCTGCTTTCTTAGGAGGAGGGGAGCAGACGAGGCATTTAGCCTTAATAAAGCCTGTTTTCCCACATACATAGCAACTAACAGGTTGTCGATCTTCATTTTTTACGTTATCTCTTGATGAGATGCTTTTAGTACGCTGAAGGTTACATCTAAAAATCTTGGAACCATTTCGTTGTTGAAACATAGGGGTCTCCTTACTAACGTTTTTATTTCGTACATATCTAACTTCTTCATACATATCTAATTTGTCAGCAAGCTGAAGTGGTTTGTTCCACTCACTCCAGTTATCAAAAAAGGGTTCTTTCTAATCTGCAGGGGCTTTCTTCTTAATGTGATCTGCCAGTATCAAGTTCTTTAACTGCTCAAACGTCGTGACTTTTGATTCCTTAAGCCACCCATCAAAATAGTTTTGTAAATCAAAATAAAAGTCTCTCCAGGTGTTTTCAGGATTTTTCTTATATTGGATAAACAATTGTCAAAATTTCTCAACACTCATAAGTTCTTTAAGAGAATTTGTTTAATTTTATTATAGTCCTGAGCATCAGCAGAAAATTCTTTTACGATTAGTTTTGCAACATCGGTTGGCAGAAGACCAACAAGATAGGCTACCCATTTTGAAACTGGTACCTTCAGAATGGTTAATTGCCTCTCAAACAAATCCAGAAATAAACTCATATCAGCTGGTTTATGATCAAAATTAGGAATTAACTTGTTCAGTTGTAACTTAGGCATTTCTGCATCTGCAGAAGAAGATACCTTGTAATTTTAATTTCTCCAATTCAAACAAACATCCATTTTCTTTCTCTCTGTCAGCACGCTGTTCTATTTCCATTTTTTCCTATCATTTATGATGCGGTTCAAACATTCTTTTGTAAACTCTCTTTTGTAAAACTTTTGTCAGCTCAATTCTTTTGTAAACTCCATTCTTTTGTAAACTTTGTTCCACATTTGTCATATAGCAGGAATTCTAAAATTTTCCTCTATCACTACACGTAGTGTTTTAGCTAATTCATTTAAATATTGTTTCTTTCCTTTTGCTAAATAAGCCATACTTAACTGAAAGTGGATAAATTTCCTTAAAATGTACACCTGTAACTTTTAGTATGCTAACAATATATAGATTTTAAAATATATTTATATGCATTTAATACACATCAAGTATACATATTCAAAAGTAAAACATAAAATAAAGTAATAACTCATTTTACATTACTTTCTGCTCATTGCTTGAAATAGCATATAAAATACACAAGTCTCAGAAAATAAACTGCTACAAAATACTTTCAGTAATTTGAATTCATGCAAAATATAGCAGCTTGTAACTATATATTTCAACACTTTTTCAATTTTTCTGTTTTTAAAACTAAACTGAGAATCCTTTACGTTGTATTAACTATATTTGATATTTATTTTCATTGCCTCATATCGAAACTTGCATAGAACAAAATACTTGAATTTTATACGAAATATTCATTCAATATTATTTTAAAAAATTGCCAAAGTAGCGGGGACTACGACAAAATTCTTCATTTAAATTTCAGCAATACTTCAAAATTACTTTAAACTTCAAATACTTCAAAATCTTTCAGTACTAAAGGAACTGGTGTGCGACAGAATCCATGCAATATGATCAAGGTGATCACACTTCATCTAGAAGAATTCAAATCCAACAGAACATTTAACTCATTCGGATAATCCGCGAAAACGAAATTAGGTCTCCAGAATTCTTATATTTACTTGATCCTGACGATCAATGAAAGCGAGATTAAGTCAAGGCGATCACAATTTTTGACTTTTGCTTTAGTTCCGAATTTACTTAATTAGAAGTAATCAAACATTAAAGTTTTCTTCAACGTATCCATGGGCTGTCCGTCATCATCACTTTTGGTTCTAAAGTATCCATCCATATGAGAATTTTCGGACCGTAGTTGGGCAGCCAATTTTATTTAACACATATTTTTTATCCATTCTTAAAGAATCTCGGGGCTAATAATTAAGACAATTAAGTATGACAAACACCAATTTATTTATAATTAACACACAAAAGAAATAATAAAAGTAAGAGAGTTATTTAGCTACATAGCTCGCGAGTTCTAATTCTAAAGTTCATTGTGTCATATGACTTAAAAAAAAATGTTTATATTTTTGAAAATCTCGCATC